TGTGTTTTTTCCCACAGCTGTTTGTTGCTGGCTTGATTGTACTGCTGTTAGATGAGTTGCTACAGAAAGGTTACGGCTTGGGGTCTGGTATTTCCCTGTTTATTGCTACCAATATCTGTGAAACCATTGTCTGGAAGGCTTTTAGTCCCACTACCATCAACACTGGCAGAGGTACGTGTGCAATTACCATTAGTTACAACCTATTTCACTGAAGGTATACTATACATAAATATCAGGGGTTTATCAGATGGATATTAAAGAAAATGGTTTAATGTGTGATGATTAACTTGTAAAGTCAGTCATTGTCTAACACTGAAGATAAAAATATGGTCTGAGCTACGTGAAGATTAATAACCTACAAGTTTGCCTTTGCTGATTGGAATTGCAGTAGTTAAACTGGGACTTGAAGCCAGACTGAAGCGGTTTAGATTTCCAAACTGATATAGTCTTGTTTTAGTATCATTTAGTTGATAGAAATAGAGAACATCAGAAATTCTGTATGTTCACAAGAGTTGTTTATGATCCAACTGTTGTTGGTGGCTATAGGATACTTCTAGAGCTGGTGCCTCCAAATTACTTTAAGCTAGTTTGGTTCTTCAGGGACTACCAGCTCTTCATTCCTCAGACAGTCTTTGGCATTTGGTTGTCCTGAGACCCTAGAAATACCAAGTTGATACAGGTGTTTGCATCAAGAAGTTAACTAGTTTAATACATACATTTGAAATTCTGAGACAAGTTTTTAGTGTGCTTTCATTTTCATCTGATTTTTAGTAGTTTTGTATATTACATTTTTTTACTGCTTTTCTAAAGCTGTTTTTCTCCTCGTTTATTATTTCTTCCTTCCAGTCATCCCTCTGCCCTCAGAAAAGAAAGAAAAAGTATTTTTTCATGTGTGTGACTGGGTGTGTGCGCATTGTTTTTTGCGGTGTTTTTTTTTGTTTGTTTTTTAAACCAGTAATAACACTTGGGTAGATTATTTTACATTCTGTAAGCTAAATCAGAATCCTGTACTGCGTTGAATTTGTTGTAACAAGATTTATCTCCTATTGTATCTGATTTTATATGTGTCTCTTTTTTTTTTTTTTTTTTTCTTCATGCAGGAACAGAGTTTGAGGGTGCTGTGATTGCATTGTTTCATCTTCTGGCTACACGAACCGACAAAGTCCGGGCTTTACGGGAGGCTTTTTACCGACAGAATTTGCCCAATCTCATGAATCTGATTGCAACAGTATTTGTATTTGCTGTAGTCATATATTTTCAGGTAAAACAAGAAAATCCTCATAGTAGTTCGGCAACTGCATAGTGTGTGGATAATAGACACTGCAGTCACTGGGGCAAAATGCAAAAATTAAACTAGAGTAACGGAAGTATCTTAGCTTTGAGTAAGAAATGCTTAATTTCAACCTTGTTATTTCATACCTCTGTGACAGTACAGCTGTTAAATTTTATAGCCAGATGTACTTGTATGGAGCCAGTGATGTAATCTCACATTCCATTAAATGCCATACACACTGAGAGTATTTTTACTAAAAATGGATTCTGGAATTGCAGTGGTTGTGTTGCACAAATAATATACTTCATAGTTATCTTAAAAGAATACCTTTGGACAGAGGTAAAGAGCCAGGCTTCTTTGGGGTGTGCATGATACAGATTTGTTCTAGAAAACATTTGTGTAATTAATGCATAGATTACTGATTTTCCCTGATTTTTTTGAAATACTTGGCTGGTATTTCTTTTTAAAGCTAAGTATTTACTAAAATGGACACTAAAGGAGATCCATATGGTGATTTTTTTTGTGTGTGTGTGGCTGAACATTTGTTATTGTTGTTTTGTTAAGCTGTTGAGTCAGAGTGCTGGCAGAAAAATGATTTCACTGTTTTTCAAATCCATGTGGCTTTCTTGGGTCTTCTCAGATAAGAGCCTTCCCCACAAAACAGAAGGCTGGGCCTATTACACAAAAGTCTGCTGTTAACTGGCTAGATGTTAAAAGCCATTAAAGGCTTTTATCAAACCCTATTCTATAAAGTGCATTTTAGAGGAGTATCACTTAGCAGATGAGAGGTAATGTTTACATAAAAAGAACAGAATACAGCCAAGCAGGAACACTTATCATTCTTTAAAATTTGTAATCCAGACTGCAGCAGAAAGCCTTTGCCTTTGACTGTCTCAGGCCTTGCACTCCTTGTTTATCTAGAAAGAACTCTATGGTCAGGGATAGCTTTTATGTGTCCTAGGAATACCTTCTATCTTGGAAATAAACTTGGTGTATTTGTGTTCTTTCCTGTAGGGATTTCGTGTTGATTTACCCATCAAGTCCGCACGATACCGTGGACAGTACAGTAGCTATCCTATCAAGCTCTTCTATACCTCCAACATTCCCATCATTCTGCAGTCTGCCTTAGTTTCAAACCTCTATGTTATTTCCCAGATGTTGTCTGTTCGTTTCAGCGGCAACTTCTTGGTGAACTTATTAGGACAGTGGGCAGTAAGTATTTTACCACCCTCTTAAGAGCATAAAATTGTTTGTATATATTACTTCATTGTGAAACTTTGGTATTTAACCAGCTGAAAACTGGAATACTTACTTTTTAACATTAGTCTATAAAAGCTGTTTTAAACATTGCAGAGGAATTCCTCTATGCGTACAGGATAGAAATGTGGGAGATTGGCGAGAAATAACTAGTTCCCTTTTTCTTCCCCTCTCACAGGATGTCAGTGGAGGTGGCCCTGCTCGCTCTTATCCTGTTGGTGGCCTGTGCTACTACTTGTCCCCTCCAGAATCCATGGGTGCAATATTTGAGGATCCTGTCCATGTAATAGTTTATATAATATTTATGTTGGGATCCTGTGCGTTCTTCTCGAAGACTTGGATTGAGGTGTCTGGCTCATCAGCAAAAGATGTAGGTGTTCTGATAGACGTGCCTAAATGTTTTCAAGCGCCACCTCTAATTTAGAACCGACTAGCTACTAACTGATCAGTTATTACTCTGACTAAATATCAGGTGACTATGAAACACCATAGCAGTTTCATAAAATTATGGTTTTTGCAGGTTGCCAAGCAACTCAAAGAACAGCAAATGGTGATGAGAGGCCACAGGGATACTTCAATGGTTCACGAGCTTAACAGGTAAGGAAATGCTGATTTCCAGCTGGATGGTTGAGTGCTGGGGAGGTGTCAACTAGAGCAGATATTCTCAGAACAATTTGAGACCTTTTTCTACTGCAAATGTCAAGATTCTTCCCGTTCAGCTGTTGCCTTTCCTAGTAATGCAGAAGATGTTTATAGCAGTAGGTAGGAGATTAACCTGTAATGTCTCTTAAGCAGTATAATGAGGGAATTTGGACTGAAGCTCTTCTATGTTTGTAAAAGGAAGACACCTTGATTTTTACAGGTGTTTAGTTTGCTGTTACTGAACTAAGATGACACCACAAAGCAGTGTTTTATGCAGCATCCAAAGCCTGCAGATCTGTGCTGAAGGGTAGATTCATCCCTACATATTTAAGCTGAAGCGGTTATTCTTGGTCCTGTGGAGGTTACGTAGCACACATATACCTAAAACTGTTATACTTTTAATTGAAAAGCTTTGTCAGTGTTCAAGTATTCACACAGCTTTCCTATCAGTGAATATTTATTTTAGTTTCTACTTTGTGCAAATATGGATAATAAGAGCTACTGGAAGAGGTGTGTTTGCAACGTTACCTTTGTTGCTCAGTATTCTAGTTGGTTGTTTTAGTAGTAGATGTATTGTTACAATCCTTGGATGAAAATTGATGATTATGAATACCTTTTTTTTTTGTTCGTACAGGTATATCCCTACAGCAGCTGCATTTGGTGGGCTGTGCATTGGTGCCCTTTCAGTATTGGCTGACTTTCTAGGAGCCATTGGGTCTGGCACTGGCATTCTCCTTGCAGTCACTATTATTTATCAGTATTTTGAAATATTTGTAAAAGAACAGGCTGAAGTTGGAGGAGTGGGTGCATTATTTTTCTAGATGTCCAAATATTTCATGGTTTGCGTGAAAGAGAAAGTATTTTGACAACATGCGTCATTTAGTCCAATAATGCTATTTTCTTTTTACTTGTTTTAAAGTGCTACGTGTCCCATTACCATAATGGGCATTGAGCAATGCCTGTGTGCAGCATTAGTACCAGCTGCCTTAAGAATAAAGTTTACATTAACTTGTTTAAGTATTATCTAGTGTTGCCTGTAATGCTGGAAACCAATTCATCTACCTTGCTGTTCAAACACTACAGTGAGATGGTAAAATGTATCAGTTTGATATCGGTAAACATTTTTGCACACAGCATTAAACTGTTCAATTTATTTCCCTGTCCTTAAAAGGAAAAAAATTAAAATCTGAGTTCAGATTGCCACGTGCCAGTATTCTTGACAAAATTTATTTGTAGCCTGCATTTTGCATTCATTTTTTATACTTTTTTAACTTGCATTTCCCCATCGTTGAATTCAGCACTCCTTATTCCTTTGTGGTGTCTCCACCCAGGCACCTTTCTCTGAGCTGTAAGGGTGGACTAGCAAATATTTTACCGGAGACTGATACTCATCTCACCTGTGAACTGGTTCTGTGGTGGATTTGATGCATCGCAGGGCCTGGGGCATTGCGGTTTCTTGCCAGGGGCCTCCTGGGAGACAGCATGGTAGCTCCTGTCATGCTAGCAAGTCAGCCCCGTAGTTTTGTTTAAACATGTACTTGTGAAAACTGTGCCACTGAAACTTCATGTCCACTTTGCTTTTGTGAGTCTAAACGACGAGGCCTGGTTCCTAAAGCAGTGTTCATAGACGGGAAAGGGGGGGAAAGAGGAGTTTCTGCTGAAAATTTATTTATGTTGTCGCACTTTACAGCGGCAATGTAACAACTGTAAACGTTAGACAATAAACTTATTTAATTAAGCTCTCTCCTGTGTCTTCCCTGTGCAAGATGTAATCCGTATGCAGTTTTGATCACTTCTAACAGGCTTTGTTAGTGAGGTAGGACTGGAAGGCTCTCTTTTTTTCTTCTTTATCCTTTATCTTTCTAGAATATAATTCTGATCAGGTTTTAGCAGCCTTAATTAAAAAACAAAACACAAATCTCAAGATTCCTCCCCTTAAAAACGTTGAACTTTTCTGTTTGGCTGTAATCAATGACTTTTCCCTTTGATTTCACACTTTGATCTATTTTCTCTCATGCTTCACTTGAAAGTAACTTTGTGTTGCTTGTGAAGGTAAGAAAAGCTTAAGTTCTCTGCTTCATTTCTAAGCTAGGAGTGTCCTCCTAATTATGTTTATCTCCCAAATTCATTTCAGAGTCAAGACTTTGATGTTAGCATATGTTTATTGCAGCTCTTGGATCCTAACCTTTAAGCAGTGGTGGTAGCTGACGTAATTAGCAGCAGTTGACTGGGCGGAGATCCACTGAAGTTTTGTTTGGCAAAAGATTTACCCAGAGGTGAGGAGACTGAACGAAGGTGCAGCCCAGGGACGGGGATGGGTCCTAGGGAGAGGGTGAACTGCAAGGCTGTGCCATCTTGGGGCATGTAAGTAAGCCCATACCTTAAGCAGAATCCCCTGGTTTGTTCTGCTTTGCACCAGTAGCTGTTTTGTTGATATTGTCATCATCGCTGCCAGAGTCTGTATTTTCTTAGATCAAACCAACCAATTTTCTCTTTCAAGATCGGTTTGTTAGGGCTGGGAGAAAGAAGCAACATCTCTGTCATAGAAGGGAATTCCTGAAATGCTGTTTCAAACACTGCAGCCAGAGCATGCACACTGTGTCCTGGTGCTGCTGTTGCTGCTCTTGTTGCAGAAAATCACCTGTAGTTGTTGAAATGCTGCTGCTTGTGCCTGGGGAGGAGAGAAGCGCGCTCATCCTGCGGTCTTCCTCCTTTTGGACAGGTGGTGTTAGAACACCAACTACAGTTACTTAAACATCTTCCTTATACTGAAACCTAAGCGCAATGATGAATACAGTGAGAAATGAGCCATTCTGAAAATTAGACAGCATTTTTATTATGATTATTCTGTCAAGGTTTGATAGACTGAGCAGCTAGAAGGAATACTTTTTGTTGGTCACATATTTCCAGATCAAAAGATCAGAATCATTCCTACAGATACTTTTGTTTGCTCTATAAGTAAAGCAACGGACCTTTAGTACAAGAAGTTACATTTCTAAGCCATCTGAATGGGGCAGTTTTCATCTAAATTTCTCATCATCTAGTTTTAGAACTTCATAAAAGGAACTTGGAGCGGTTTTTCTGCTGCACGCTTCAGGGCCAAGGCGTAAGTATAAACCCTGGCATCCACTGCAATATGTTCTTCTGCTACTAGTTCTGGAAAAAAAAAAATAAAATTGAGATGCTGTTAAAACTTCTCATCTACAGAAATGTAATTAAGTCCCTTACTAAAATGAAGATATATGGCATTCCAGGCATGAATTCTTAATGCTAACACTTTGTGATATCACTAACTGTTACCTGGTCAAGTCTCTCTCAGCTTTTTGTTTAAGATACAGTATTCTAGGATAAGAAATGCCATGAAGAGCTATGAGAAGCTAAGGGTTTCTTGCTAAAGCTCATATTTGTGCCTTTCATGTGTCAGAAAGCTCTTACCGTCAATTCTTTGCAGTAGGTCATTCTTTGGAAGTGAAATAACTTCCACAAATTCTAGGAGAAAAGAAAAAAATTTTACATACCTTTAAATTACTGAACAGTAGAGGAAATTACACCTCAGAGTCCTGTTTCTTAAAATTTAGAAGGGGAAGCAACCTGACCTAATGCTCATCACCATCCAAAAGCTGTGAGCATTCATATCTCACCAAAAGGCTGATTAAATGGGGGGAGGCAGTAACTGGGGTCACTAAAATACAGGTTTGGCAGAAAGAAACTGGGAGAGAGTTGGGAAAAATGGTGCAGCTGACAGCTACGGAGGATAAGAATCCTTCTAAAATGAGACCACCTTCATTCGGAGATGGGGAATACACTACTGAAGGGGACTTCTGTTTGGTTTACACTGGTACAATAATGGATCGTAGATGTGTTTGACTGAAGACCAAAACAGCACAAAGAGAAAGGGGTTGTTCTTAATTAATCTGTGTTGGTTTACACCTCCCCTGTCCATCTGAATTAGTTGTCTTTGGGGCTTGATCTACAGCTGTTGAGGATTCAGTAATTTGTGTCTCCGGAGATACTGGTGCTGTAGGTGCAATACCTGAATGTAATTGATGTGATAATGCCCCCCCCCCCGGAATTTCCATGTCTAGGCTAAAGTCAATCTTGTGTGTTTGATTAGAGTCAGGAGAGTAACCAAGCCCAAATAAAAAGCAGTTTTAACTGCCATGTTCTAAGGAAAACTTGCCATACGATGATTACACTTGACCTTACTGTTAGTGGGCACACAGCTATGTAACATACCTCCATCATCTGCAAGTAAAAAAAAAAAAAAAAAAAAGTAGATTAAGGATTTTGAAATACACTAGAGTTTACAACTAAAAAGCATTTTGGTAGCTGACTGATCGTGAGCAACACTGCAGTTACTTCCAGGGTCAAGCCACAGCTAAGGGCTCACAGTGCTTATGGCCCTAATTGAAGTTTGGCACCGAAATGTCTCATTCGGGGGTGTGCCAACACCTGGCACTGAACATCTAGGCCGCCCTAGTGAATTTAGCAGAGAAACGTGGCTCTGCTTATCTAGACTGCAGGATATGATTTGAGGGATGTACAGCATTTATATCAGTTGTGGGACAGAAGAGATAGGGTGGTAGAGATAGTTCCTTTAAACCCATTCTTTTGTTCTCACAATTTTCAAATAAATAGTATGAAACTCACCAAGTTTTTGCTTGGGTCTTGTATTCTCAGCCTCATCTCCGTTAATGGTGACACTCACAATGTGTGTCGTGCTGTTTGACAAACCTGGGTCCAAGCAGAGAGCTGCCAACAAGCACATGTAGAGGTTTAATTTTTCAAAAGCAGAAGTCAGGCACCTTGACATTTTAGCAGAAGCTTTTACAGAAATACATCTGATACAATAGAAGAACATATATTTGGTGTATGTTCATGCTGCAAGAGTTGTGAAAAGTTTGTTTTCGCATGTTCGTAACAGTAATGTTTCTGTAACTTTCAGCTCTTATACATTTCTTGTAAGACCTGTTTTCAGCAGCAAGGTTTACTTGCCATTCCATAGACTGAAGATTAAACTGTAAACTATAATTCCCTTAGAGACTTCCTCAGCCTATTAGTCTTATTTTGCCATCACCTGTCTCCATCCCTCAGTTCCCAGCACACAGTTGTACCCAATAATCAAAAGCCAAGTCTTAACTGTAATGACATTTACTTGAAATCACACCTAAGTTGCCTCACCCTTCTACCTTCTCAAGTTTTATTTACGATCCTCATTTTGCCTTCACTTTGTTTTATGTAGGAAGCTGGAATGGCAACAATCACATTCCAAAGGTTCCCTGGATTTACTCCAGTTATTTTCCTTCTTGTTTCCGGCCGGAGAGGCTGAGTACCTGTCACCTCCCCACAGCTCACGTGAGGGTGACCTCCACTCACTGCATCATGCAGCTGTTTTTTCTACCTAAGTTCACAGATGCTGTTCATGTTAAGTCCAGCAATGTAGACACTTACAATAAAATGACAAATTACAGCTTTACTAATTGGATTTTGTGTAAAGGATCTTAATTAATAGCAAAGTTTTCTTCTATAGAAATCAAACTTTTACTTTAGTCCTGTATGTTTAACAGAAGTTCAGCAACAGACTCATTAAGGACCAGTTGGTACAGCCATGGGATACTACTCTCTGCTAATCTGAATAGACTTTTCTGCATGGATTTTTCCTTTGGTTTAGGGTATTTTAGACATTTAGAGTACCCATCGGGTATTTTAGACATTTAGAGTACCCATCAAAGCAATTTAAGGATCTTGGGTGTGGGAAAATAAAAAAAAGCAAAGACCTGGAGTACATTCAATGACTTCCCCCTTGTACCCAGTTTCTTCCTCCAACTCTCGCAATGCAGCGCGTTCTGCAGTCTCATTTTCCTCAATGAGGCCTGTGAGATAAATAATACACAAGAACAACTGAAAAGCTAGTGCTTAACTGCAATACCCATCCCAAGATCTAATCCAGCTTTATGGAAGAGGTCAAACATCCTCCCTACCCTATTTCTGCAGAGGATAAACTGAGGTGTTAGGAAGGATTCCAGTTCCTGGATTGATCATGTTCTGCCCACATCTTCAACTGACTTCTACAACTGATTTCACCTACAGCAGCATGCTATCTTCCCAGGAAATGCATCAATATTCTTAAGAGGAAAGGAAGCCAAATGCTTTAACTCTTAGAGAAGGGAGGCATGGAAGGAAATGCAATATTCTATTACCAGACTACTGTGCAAAATACCACCCAGTCTGCTCAGATGAACTCATTTTGTATTCATTATCAAATATTCCTACTTCTGAAACAGCACACTGAGCTACAGAGCTCACCACGGTTTTCTGGTTAGAGCTACTTCATTAAGATTGGCACTCCAAGCACATCTAAACACACTTAACTGTCAGCTTCATGAGACTCAAATGTTTCAGTCGCTTACCTGCAGGAAATTCCAAGCAATAGCTGTTAATTGGGGGCCTGAACTGTTTCACTAGGACGATGCAGTCGTAGTGGAGAGTTCTCTGTAGTACTGCTATCACTGCTACACCTACAAATAGCAACAGAAGAAACAAGTACATAAAACTGGAGTATAGAGAGCGTTTAGTGCTAGATCTGGAAAGGAACACAAGCATTGTTACTCTGAGCATTAAATGTTTAAATATCTGCTCCTGAATGATGAATTTAATCTCCTTGTATTATGTGTGGTGAGAGAGAAAAGTAAAAAAATGGGATCTTCAGAAGAGCCCAGCAAACGAGAGGCACATGTACCAAGCAAGACTGACCTAAGCCCACCAGTCTCCAGAGAAGGGCTCTCTCGCCTGCAGAGACTGTTTGGAAGCTATAGTATGGAACCCCCTCCTAAGTCCTTTCATGGCTAAATCACGTCCCTCTTTTACCCAGAGAGAACTGTATCCTTAGTCCCTAAGAGCAGATCAACTCACCAGTCTGTGAGCAATGCCATATGAGGGCACCCATGTTGTCTTTGAAATTTCTCCATTGTTTTAAAGTGAATACAATAATCTTGGGAAAACACTCCTACCAGTAAAGTTCTAATTCTTCAGCACTGAAGTTAGCACTTCATTAGCTCTGGGCTACAGCAAGCTCTCCTGAGCTACTTGGTGTGCATCTTTGTTCATTCAGAAACAGATCGGCTCTAAGTCTGCACTGTCAGTTTAGCAGAACTTTCACACAAACAAAACACACATACAAAAAAGTCACCAAACTTACCATCAGCTGAAACACCCTTTTTGTTGCCAGTACGCTTTACAGTTTCCCAAGTCCTGTTTAACACAAGAGAAAAGAACAAATGAATACATAACTCATCTTTCTACCCTTGCTACTTTTATTTAAAAGCAAAATATGCCATCACACAGTGAGGCCCCCTAAAAAAGCAGCTGGCTGTAGGCAGACCCTGTCATATACTGGCACTAGAAAGTGCCAGTAGTATAATTTTGTTTTGCCTACTTAAAGGAGGGAGAGAGAGAACAGTTAATGAATGATTGTTTAAAATGACTAAAAATAAGGGAAAGACATAAATGATTGTTACCAAACAGGCAAGTCTGATAAAAGTGATCCTGTAAAAGTGCAAAATAAAGCAATTTATATATAAAACATATCAAATTTTGAAAGGCGGTTCTGTAACAAGACCATGTGCATTCTTTTATCTGCTTTTGCATCAGGTTTGTAGTGTAAGTTATTGTGAACTCTAGGGTCAGTTACTTGAGCACACAAGGCACACGCAGGTAAGGAACACCAAAGCGTCTCTCTCAAAATAAGCAATGGGGTGAGTAAAAACCAAAAATCCACCAGCAATAAACATCTTTTCACAAAAGCTCCAATCTTTACTATTTTTTAAAAGGAATCTTTGCTGATGAACTGGGAGGCACTGGAGAAAGCAATCAGTACAGAATCTAACACGTTAAGGGGAAGGAAGTAAAGTCATGTTGTCACAGCAAAACTAAAGCGTACAAAAGAACTGGACAGACATGATAATACACAGACAGTAATTTTTCAGTAGTATGCAAGATCCAGTACCATCAGCAAGAAAAATGAGCCCTTAATGAAGAACATAGCATCTTTAGCATCTTTACGTACACAGCTCATTATAAGGAACTGGAAATGCAAAGTAAACCAGGGTCCAATGTGCCCAAAAGTATTTAGGAGCCAAATTCAATCCCACATGCCAGCACATCTGCTTGCGGGACATTTTTTTCTCTGAGCAGTATGAACTATAAAGGAGTTGCACAATGAATAGATCTCATCTTGTGTCTCATACAAGCCTCATACTCTCTAGCCTGGGGCTAGTCCGTACAAGGAGGAACATTACAGGAATCTGAAATGCCAGAGGGGCAATTACCTCGTTTTACCAAAGGGATCAGTGTAAGTTGTTTCTTCAAGCTTCAACCATTTTCTTTCTACAATTACCTAAAATAAACAATTCTTTGTTAAATACATTATATGATTAATCCCAAAGATATTTGGCGGCTAAGAGGAGAAATAACTATTTTGGGATTGTTTTGAAGACAAAATCTCAGCATCAGAATACATTCAGGAACACACAACAACATTCTGTAGCTATTATGGAAAAAAACATTTAAGTTCTTGAACAGGAATAGAAAATTAGTAACTCTTCTGAACACGACTTTTATAACCAAGTTTCAATGAATTCAGTAGGATTTTATGTACTGGAAAGTCCTCACCTTTTTAGAAGAATTTTGCAAAGCTCATGTTTCAGCTGAAAAAAGGGTCACTGGTCTGCAGACTAGCTATGCTGGTAATCATGACTGCCCACTTACCAGAGAGCTAAGCATGCAAGACTGAACACCAAACTATTCTGAAACTTTTCTTGCCTTGATCTCAGACCTGGTCCTTGTGTAGCTGCTGTCTTCTGTAACAGTGAGCTGTGACACACGCCTGCCCTTTCAGGGCTGCTGAATGAGTGCTTGGCATTAGTATTATTATAAAAATGTTTTTTTCTGAACTAAATGAGTTTATTTGCCCTGTGATGTTTCCTCATCTTTTATGTAATTCCTTTAAAAGGGAAAAATCTCTAAGTGTTAACCCAGCAGTTTACTTTTAATGTAACTTGTATTTTAAGCTTTGCTAAAGGTATAAGCAGACAAGAAGCTTGTCTCCAGAATTTTGTATCAAGTTGGCCATAGGTCTGACCACAGAAATCAGAAGGAATCAGTAAGATGAAAAAATCACTTCTTCGTGTCTAATGAGACACACTGCTGACAGCAACAGAGCAAGCATAAGCAAGGGAAAAAGGATCTGCGAAAAAAACCCACAACACTGAATTGTAGCAAAGGATGAAGTCTTGAGGTCATTCATGTGGTTGGCACACTGAGATCCTCTAGTGAAGGACAAAGAGCAAACAGGCCCATTTGGTCATGTAGATTTTGGACTTAAAAGTGAGAAATTAATCAACTCAAAAAAGAATACAGAGAATTGAAATGCAGTATACGATGCAGCTGTAGCTAGAGTACAGAAGCACACTACAGCATCAGCTGGAGACAGAAGGCAAATCAGAAGGGATTTGGGTATCCAGTAAACTATAAGTGAGCTGGACGAACTCACATCTTTCTTAAAATGTGTTCTTCAGAACAATTATTTTGATAGGCAACTGAAATAACAATAGCACTCCTATAGTTGTAAGCAGGGCTATATGTACTTTACATGTAGGAATTTTGGCATTTGGAAACTATAATGTTTCCATGTAAAAGAAATTGGAAAAGAAGAACTATGTGTTCTCAGAAGGGCTTTCTAATGGCTTTGTGGTCACAAAAACAGCAGGAAATGAGAAGATGAAGTATATTATGATCATTACATGTTCAAGAAGTAATTCCATTTGGAAGCATTCAGGTACATTTTAAATAGCTTTGTATTTACTCCTAAGTCACTGCAGAACTAGAGTACAGGAAGATCCAGAAGAGAAATAGATGAAAACCATGTTCCATTGGTTGTCCAAGGAGAGGAATATATATACTTCAGTTAAGTAAACAGCCAAATGTTTTGTGTTAAAGATTCTTCTTAAACATTGCAGAGAACACAAAGGCCTAAATTATTGATCGCAGTCCCATTTTGCTGCAGCATTCAACAGAACTGGCAGATCATTACCTCTGTCACCAAGTTATCGTCTGCAAAGCAGGAAGGGGAAAATGGCTCAAATCAGAACTGTCCCCAGGGATCTTAGAGGAAAGAGAAATCCCTAGTCTGTAAGAAATTTGACCTACCCAAGCTCCAAAAAGACAAAAAAAAAAAAAGGTAGGTTTTATGTGTACAAAACAAACAGTGTCAAACAAAGTGTCTTGTTTTTAATCTGGTATTCTTGAATACAGCTTTTGTCTTCTACTGTCATGGAACAATAATTAAAAAGTCCTATAAGACATGCAACATATTTACAATGGAATTGGTTCCACAATTCTCTAAAGTTAGGTGAAACCCTTGCTGCTAACAGCCTACAGGGTGAGAAAACTGAAAGCTGCCAGGTTTCCCTGAAAGAATAAGAGAATTTTCTCACTCACCTCGTAGGTGCACAGTTAAAATCTGCGGAAGCTGGCCCAGAAGCAAATAGCTGATTTAGGACCCACAGGGCACTTTGCAAGATGTGTTGCATGTACTATACTTGGTTTTAGAATGAGTTATTTGTATTGCTTTACCTATTACTTTGATGGACAAATAACATCTGCTTTTGCTTACAACAGCCTGACTGTGGGTTCCCAGAAACAGGAAGAAGGACTTAAGATCAGACACTGCTTTCATGAAAGAAGATATTCCAACATCAGACCATGTAGTTACTGTTGAGTTACAGACCCACTTTTAGCATGAGGGACACTGGCAGAGTCATAGTAAATATCCTCCTGTATTAATGCCACAAAATGACTGAAAAAACTAAATAGCTTAAAATATGTAAGATCTAATTACAAACTTCCAATGACACCAAAGAGTACAGTGTTCCAAAGGAGAAGATCTAAGAGGCATTATGAAAAATTAAAAAAAAAAAGGTAAAATGAAAATGCTACCTGCAAAAACAGAGGTCTTAATAGAAAACCCAAAAAGCTTACAAAAACTGAACCCATTATGTTTGAGAAATATTCATATTAAAAAACAACCCAAAAGGAAGATTCATAAATATATCCCAATCATGTCAATGCCTTCTTTCCTGAAAAAGCTTTGTACCTTGAAACCTAAGGAAATTATGAGACTGTTCATTCCAAGGAAGGAATGCTGGATGAAAGAAACTACATTCAATGTTATAACAACAGTGTGATGCTGTTGCCAAACCTGCCTTTAAGACCAAAGATTAACTTTAAAGAATTCACTTAAAAGAGAAGAGAAACAAATACAGGCAGTTTAAATTATGGTGAAAGTGCTCCTAATAAGCACCCAAAAGTACTTTCAAATTCCTTCCCCAGGATTCTGTGAAGACATGAGCAGAATATTTTTGAAAAAATCTTACTATCTTCTTAATATTGTCTAGAACAGCAATTATCTAAATTCAAACCCTTTCAGAAAGCATCAAAGGTACAATCCTAGGCAACTCTTAAGTGGCTCATCATCTTAAAGGAATGGAAAACAAAGCTGAGTTTTATGATCCACTGATTTGTATAGTCTCTCAGAGGCATCAGCATTATTTCTGAACATTGAAAACAGCCTGAACAATACAAGAAACAGCTGCAAAATCTGAAAGAAGCTTAAAATAATGCAACAGCGTAGACATCTCTCTCCCAACTGATAATTTGTATGATTATTTCAACAGAGAAATGCCACCTTTTTTAAACTCTTATACCATCAGGAAAAAGTATTTTATCTACTGAATAGATTTTTACAAACATACAGCATCCATACCATTTCTTACTCTGCACTCACAAACATTCTGATCAGTCTCAAACAACTGTTATTTAACAACAAAACGTGTCAAAACCGAGCATGTTATACCTCTTCTTTAAGAACGGATTGTCTAGCAGTTTTTGGAACTTCTGTGGATGTCTCAGCTGCCATTTTCAGGAATGTCAGGCTTTTCTCCTCCTGTGCAAAGTCCAGATTACTAGGAAACAAAGTCAATATTTGCTTTCAGAGTAAAGTTAAAAGGTTCATTTCTGCATTCTAAATTAACAAATAAGACCTACTGGAGAAAGTTACGGACACATGATGCCAAGGGCCATTCACAATTTCAGCTCCACCTGATGGTTTCAGAGTCAAATAATTCAAAGGAGAAGTGGAAGTTTGGGTTAAATCCCTGATTTACAAAGTTATAATAGTCCTATTAGGAGCTGAGTAGCTATGCTGGCTGAAGACACCCACCTTAACTTTCAAAGGTCAGACATACAGGGACAAAATTGATCCATTTCAGTCAACTTGTTTCATTCTGATCTGGGTGAAGTGCTTTGTCAACACAGCATTGCCACAACAGGACTACGCACTCCACTGTGAAAGTGGGAAAAAACCTTATACCAAGAGGACTTCAGGGGTAAAAACTGTCTGCTATTGAGAAAGAATCAGAACTAGAACCTACCTTCACCTTACACATATCACAAATAAAGATGTAAGTCCTTCTCCCAAAAAAAACAAGGTCAAAAAGTCACCTGTGTGTTGCAAGTCTAGGTGGCATGTGGAGTTAGTGTGACCAAAGCACGTCAGTCTCCCCTACTGGGAATGATGTGGCTAGCACCGTCCAAAAGGCAGTTGAATATATGCCCAAAGCAAGGCTCTGCACCTGCAGCTCAATGCCTCAGCCTGCATCTGAACGCTCCCTAGGAAGGTAAGATTGTCCACTCACTCGCTCAATCCAATTCTAGCTGAAAGGCACAGCGGGCAGCAGAAAAATACAATGCATTAGAGATTCACCATTAGTCCCCTGTCTCCCTGCAGAGCTACGGGGCACTTCCAGCACAGAAACTCTTATTTCAAGGAAGCTCATCTCTGATACTAAGTTGTAATACTGAAGTCCTGAAAATCAGCACGAATCATAAGCAAAAAGACCATGCAAAGAAGCAAACCAGTTTATGCATCAGAAGAGACAAGACAATCTTAAAAGATCTCTTGTTCTTAGTGTTGATGATTGTAAACTTTCCATAAAGCCAACAGGAATCTTCCCATTGACTTCAACTAGGGTTTAATAAGGCTCTGTGGAGTCTCTAGCAATCAACAGTACCAAAAATGAGTGATCGCCTTCTCCGTCATGCCTAATTTTAGCACTTTTTTACTTCATCTTTATCTTTTTATGATAACACCTACTGCAGATTTGTGAAAAATTTAAGAGCATGCAGAAACAGTCAGCTTTCTTACACACTAATTTGCATTTTAATTCCACAAAGTAGTTAAAAGGAATAGGTAGCACAAAATATTTCTGGTTATCAGGGGATTAAAACTAATGTACATAAATCCATTTCCTCAGTATGTACAGAGGGCAGACTCTTTCCTAAGTCTTAATACAGTCGTCGGATGAAGTAGGTTATAGTGGTGAAACGTTCAAATTGTTTTTATGTCACTTAAGTCCTGAAAAGGAACCCTGACCTATTAAACCCAAGTCTGTTCTTTCAGAAGTATGTGCTATAACCCTTTCTTAAAGCGATGAAGTTCCATCTTAAAATTATTTACCTTACTATTTCTATGAAAAACTGTTCTAGAACCTCACTTATCTTTCAATTTCTATCCCACATTAGTTCAGTTAGCTATTACCCATTTGTTCCTGAGCCAGCAATGTCTCAAACTCTCTTCAGTTAGGATTTAAGAGCTGTAGCTGGACAATTGCCAGTCTCTTGCCGTGACACTGAAATACAAGATCAAGCTTTCCACCAAACTTATACAAAAGAAGCGTAGCCCAGCATAGCAGTTCCAAGAGGCTTCTGGTCATCCAGAGGACAGTCAAAGGAGGCTCTTTACAATGCCTGAAGTACACACCTTTAAAAATATAAAAACCTCGTACAACATACCTAGCTACAACGAATTCACCTCCTATGTTTGGAAAGAATTATAGCCTTTCTGACTGACAAAAAAAAAATTATGAATGAGTGAGCCATATCCTTGTTAAACTTTTTTTTTTTTTTTTTAATCAGGCTAAGTTTTCCTCTTTAGTCTCCCCTCACAGGAAATCCTATTCACTTGATCATACTAATCCTTCTACACTACAAGTATCAGTGTATCTTTCTCAAACGTGGATCACCACAATCATACCCTAAATCCCACAAGCAGCTTACAGTAATGATTTGTACAACAGTGTTAATACTTACCTATATCAGTTACTGAACCTCATCTCATGGCAGAAGCTCGTTTCAACACAGCTTGCTCTCTTCTGCAGTGGACAGATTCAAGGGTGGCTTGCGACTTTAAATAAAAAATTATACAGCTTCAGTGGTTTGTGTTATCACTAATATCTAAAATAAATGAAAACGAGAGAGGAAGACTCATCAGCTTCTGTAGTTTTGATCTCCTCCACAAGTGGGTGCAATGACTCTATATATGAGTGACATTTTTTTAAAAGTTCCAACAAAAAGTAATTTTTTCCGAATTCAGCTGATTTTATAGAAGTGAGAATTTCTGCTGTTAGAAATCTGAAATACCATTCGGTTAAATGAAGGCTGCAATTTTGGTATCTCATATGAGTCATACTGTCAAGGGTGGCAACACCTTTTGTTCATAAACAAAATTAGCTGCAACTGAAAATTAAACTTAACACTACAATGTTAGGTTTCTAAAGCCCTATATTAGCTATCAAAATACACCTTGTCTTGAAGCCCTCAGACAGGAATGTTCTTCCAGCTCATAAAATTACCACTGCATCAATTGATTTAAAAATGCAACACAGCTTGTCTAGCAGCCTGGGAACCTGACTACCTGATTTATGATTACATCAACTCAATGAATATAAATTTTTAATAGTTATCGGTACAATCTTAATACTAGGTCAAAGTGTACGCATTTATCAGCCTTCTTAGCATGAATCAACAGCACTTGAACTACGAAGTATGGAAAAAAGTTTGGCCTGCTTCTACCTTCTCTGATGATTTCTGAGGCTAGTTTTACAGATTGCTGCTGGCAAATCATGCTACTTGTTCCATTTATTCCATATGGAGGTCAAACGCGGATATGAAAAAAGTTTACAATTTATAAAAGGGGTAACTTTATTCCCGTTGCTTATTCCCTTCAAGGCAAGGCTTCCTTTCAAGGAAAGGTCTAATCATTCTACAGTTTCCAAATTCTGCTTCCCAGGGCTTAAAATCTTAAACCAACACATGCCTGCGAATCAGCTTAGAGAGTAGCCAAGCAATAGTGGCTTTACATTAACCTGTCCAAGCCATGATAGATGGATTACTTTTCTAAATCACTTCTAAAGTTATTCTCTGATCCAAACTACGTAGCCCAGCTGACACCAACCAGATTTAATGGGAAGTTCAGCAACAGCATCCTAAGTCAAGATGAAGATAAAGCAAAATACAGGGTTTCTTGTAAAGAACATGCAGAGGGACACAAGCAGTGCTTTACGTGTGATTTAACCAACAGCATGCTGAGATACATGTGCTGAAAATAACTATCTCTAGAAAAACTTAAAGCTTGTTAGCATCAGTTAGCGCACTTGTATTTCAGCAATATGATTCAAGTAACAAAATAATTAGCAAAAGATGATGGCAGAGAGGGAGAGGGAAATAGTGGGAAAAAATGTTACGGTTTTGTCGTGGTATTTAGCAGCATGGATAACCTGTGCAGCACGAAATACGGAAGAATAACTGATTCTTGCCCTGCAGAACAGACAACAAATACTATCTTGCATAAGCAGACGAGCGTCAGCAGCATCTCCCTATCATTATAAACCCTCCTGACAAGCGATGTGTGAGAGGGCTTTGGGACACGGCCTCGAAGAGCAGATGCAAGATGCGCTGCGGGGAAACGACTCGGCCCTCCATGCAGGGGACACGCGCGCAGAGACGACGGCGGAACCACGGGGCTTAGAAAGAACATATTCGGTTACTACTCGGCTCTTCCCAAAAGAAAATGAAACGCAGCCCTGCTGGAGGAGAGGAGGCTCTGTCGCTGCAGAGCTCCGTTATAACGCGGGAGAGATGAAATCTTACACGAGCGCATGCAAAGCAAGGAAGCAGAGCCTGCGAGGCGGGAAAAGCACCCGCGGCTTCCCTGAGGCCGCCCGTGTTGTCAACGTAACCGCCTGGAAACCCCGCGCTGGGGCCACGCACACGGAGGAGGCCGGGAGAAGCGGGTGTGGGGGGCGTAGGGGAGGCGTGTGGGGCTGGGCTGGGCTGGGCTGGGTTGGAAGCGGGCTTGTGTCAGAGCAGGGTTGGGTGAGCTGTAGGGGGACCTGTGTGGGGCAAAAGCTGGGATGGAGGTGGGGAAGGCTTGAACAAGCTGGGGTCCAGGGAGCTGGGGTCTCATCCCTGCACCCTGAGGGGGTGTTTTGGGCAGCCCCGGCACCCCTGTGCTCCTTGCTCTCCTGGTGGGACTCTGCAGAGCTGATACCCAACCCAGTGCTCTTCCCACTTGGCTGCTCGAAGAAACAGGCTGAGCACACCCAAACCAACTGGCTAACTTGGTGTTTCACTGTATTTCTGTAAGCAATGTCAAATTCTACAGTTTCTAAGGTGCTGCCGCAGGTCACGAGATTGTTACAAAAGCTAGCAGTAACTCAGGAAAGTCAAGCTCAAGATAGTTGCCCTGTTGGATCAAGAAGCACTGACATCAGGCTTTTACTAATCAAAGCATTTAATCTTTGATGGTTTTTAGTGTTTAGTACATGCATATTTTTGGTAAGTTTAGTGATAGTCCTGAATTTTTTGGAATATTCGAGAGGTATGGACAAATTCTGGTTTGGATCTCAGAAGGGAAGCCTTTAGTTTGAGCAACATGGTGTCTCCTTCTCACTGGCCACATAAACTCTTTCTCTGAATTTCCAGAGCTTTGAAGGAGTGGGGAATTTTAGTGCATTTCATCTAAAATTTTTGCCTCTTTCTCCTCTGCTTCCTTGGAGGGTAAATGTGCATTACTTTTTGGGAAGGGGTGACAGGGGAGAAAGAGAAATGGTGTTTTTCATAGCGTTAGAGAATAAAATATACTGTTATTGAGGTTCTATTAAAAACCAAAAACTTTTTATTCAACCCTTCTTATTTTAACAAGTAATATTAATAACAACTTATTAAAGCAATGCTCATGTTTCTTCCAGTGTCATACTTCCCCTGCCAGAGAATGTGAAAGAATATTTGCTGGATGATGGAACGCTTGTGGTTTCCGGAAGGTAAAGAGTGTTTTCCCCCCACCCTCCAAGTATTAACACTATTTTATATTCACAGTGCTATTTTATATACACTGATTATATTTTGCATGATGAGTTTTTAAAATTTGACCAGTCTGGCTGCAGTAAACCTCATACTGTATGAACATGTGAATGGGCTGACTGTTGCTGTTAAAACTTAACTTGATGGTACCTGATGCAGATCCTAAAATCCATTTAATGCACTTGATGCTAGACCAACTAGGGGCAGTTTTTAAATTTTTTTCCTCCACCTTTCCTTGCAGAGTCTACCAGTCTCTTGGGTGCATAGCCTGCTGACTTGTGTTTGCTTGCTTTGATATGGTTAGCTCCAGTTCAGAGGCTTGACCCGTCCTGCACCATTCACATGCTTGCTGCCTTATCCAGGGGTGAAATGACATTACCTGAGTTTAATTCCCAATAAGATAAGCTATATATAAATCTTAGTGATTTCTGAGTTTGTATAATGATTTGCATATATGTAATCAATGCATGTGACAAGGCTCAATGTCCTGTATGCCAAAATTTTGGATGGAGAAGAATGAGGTGGATAGATATGAGAAATGGTTGGTAAGAATCCAGGCCTTGTTCTTTGTCTTCTGCTTAGAATTTTACTGTGTAAAGTGATTATTGGATGCATACACCTTGTTAGCGATCAGAAATCAGTCCACACTCCATCATTTCCTAACGGGTAGTTTGCTTCTCGCAGAGCAGCCAATTAGGCCGTGAGTGTAAGGGAGCTATGTCTGATTTCTCAGGAGTCAATTTATGTATAATTGAAGCTGTTTAAACACCTCGTAAAGATGAAAGGTCTCTTAAAATTTAAAAATCTTTTAAAATAAATTTAAAATTTAAAATTTTTTAAAAAATTTAAATCTTTTTAAATAAATGTATCCAGAAAACTGAAATTGTTTTTTAAACTATTTTGGATAAGAAGTGATGTTATCACCTGCTTCTGCAGGACTGTGCAGTTTATTTAGCAGCAGCCATTTATTTTTTAATAAGCTTTCAGAAAAGCTGAAACTGAGAGTTTGATGTTACAGCTGTGTTATAGAAACAATTTCTGTTGTCTTCAATGGAATAATGGACAGCTGTATAATTGACTTAAATTATATTTTTTAAGAAGCTTCCAATTTAAAATCCCTTTGAGAAACCAGTTTTTCTCTTGAGTTGAACTTTCTTAGCTAGAAGTGAATGTGATCTTGCAGCCAAGGCTAAGAGGGCTTTTAATCTTCAGTGAACTGTTGTCTAATCTCTAGATCTCAAAAACTGAATTGATAGTCTAATCCCTTTAGCAGTGCACTAAGGGACTGCAGAGACAGCTTGTTGAAGCTTTTGGCAGGGGCACACATTTGCACTTAACCTGTTTGTTACGCTGACCTGATGTGAATAAGTCTTCAAGAGCTTGGTCTTCTCCTTTAAAATCTTCACACTCAGTTATATTGGCTAAAGAACTTTAAACATAACCTAAAACTTCAAGGGAATATTTACAGTCAAGTGCTTTCTCCCAGATAGCTAGTGTTTACAACAGGATATCTCACCTGTTTAGAAAAAGTAACTTTTCCGGAACACATGTATCCACTTTCCCTAGGATCTTCTTTTCTGTGTGTGGAGTGTGAGGACATTTTCTTTTCAGAACCAGAAATTCACAGGTCAACCTGTGAAACGCAAGTTTTATAAATTTTTACTTGGAAAAGGAGTATGGAAGCAAAGCATAATTTAAGTTGAACTTGTTTTAAAAAATAATTTTGTTAATTTGTGCTTCTGTCAGAGTACAGTAAAGTTGGAAAACAATGATTAATAGGGTGTTGAAAAGCTTCGATTATGGCGTTTTCAGAGCAGAAGGTATCTGCTAATTTGAAAGAAGCAAAGTGTTTTGGGTAGGGCCCAAGTTTGAAGACCTAAAACCCTGGCATTAATCTTCTGTACTGGTGAAGTGCTAGGGCTTGGACAATAGGCCCAAGCCAGACTTGACCTGTAGCTGAATTCTGTATATTTTGTAACTGATAACCATTGTGCTAGTAGGTGTTGTACTAAATTACAACAAGCCACCTATGCTGATGTAAAAAGTGCTGAAGTGTTGGAAGTATTGAAGCCTGAACAACAGGCCCCGAGCCAAAGCTGCTCACTTAGTATGTAGTCATTAGCAAAATATGTACACTCATTAATGAAAGATGTAGCTTAGATATCATGTACTCATTACTGATGATGAATGTAATGAAAACATTCATGTATCTTTCTTCTTTGTGTAGGGGCAAGTTAACAAGGCCGTGAAGCCAGCTGTTCGGCCTTGGGACCAGACGTGTGGCCTTGTTCTAAAAAGAACAAAAATAAATCAGCTAAGCAGGGAAACTCCCTTAGCTTCTCCCTTGAGCCCTGGCCAGGCTCTGGGGGGATCTAATGTGAGAGTGAAACCAGATGTTCCGCTTAAAACAAAAGTGACAGTTGCTCTGACTTGCTGATTTTTGGGTATATAAGGCTGGACCTGTTTGCAGTGACTTTGGATGCCTCACCTGTGGGTGGATGCACCACTTGCTGGGACAGGCTCTCCAAATCCTCGCTGTAACCAGGGCTCCCCAGCGACTGTGGGTCTGGATGATGGTAACATATGCAAGTGGTGATGTTTTCTGTATTGCTCTGTTGCATTATTTAGTTATCCCCAGTAAAATACACCTACTCTTTCCACTCTGGTGTCCGAGTTTAATTGGTATCCTTAATCAGCTGGCTTGTTCTGATTTTTCTCTGCCAGGGGTTTTGAGGCTTAATCATACAAAAACATTTTGAGACCAACAGCTGGTAGGTGCTGTGCAAAGGTAATGTATATGGTCAAGTCAAACTCCAGTGCTTACCTTTTTTTCTGCTAATTTTTTGTTTTAGAGAAGATCCGCCAAGTCATGCTCAGGAGGGGAGTGATGATGCAGAGGAGATACAGGTCAGTATAAAATGCAACTTGATATCAAGTCTCTTGAGGAAAAATATGAATATGTATCCTTTTCTGCATAATTTATAGGTGAGGAGAGTACTTCACAAAAAAAAAAGTAATCATGTGGTAGTTGCCTTGTAAAACTTAAAACCATCATTATTTATACTTTGATGTCAGGGAAGGTTTAAAATCTTTCTTTGCTCTTTCACAGAAGACTTCTAAATTTTTTTTAATGTCTTGATAATTGCATTTGCAATAATGAGTAGAGAATGTTGAAGGATATTGGAATTGACCTTAATGCTGTTTCATGCCCTGAAAAATTAGGAGGAGGAGTACATTTGGAGGAGTTATTTGAAGAAACAATGGAAGTTTCTGAGACCATAATAGCTCAGAAGGGTATTCTAGAAGAAAAACACTGAAAAATGTTGTTAGCACAAGGTGACAGAAGGTACAAAAAAGAGGTGAAAAAGAAATATAATTGAAACGAATGGATCATGGGTCTGAGGATGGAAGTGCTGGAGCTGGAGACAAGCTTTAGATAGGGAAGACTCTGTTGAGTTCTGAAATGTCCAAGTTTGTGATACAAACCACAATTAAAATGTATGCGTGTCATCTTTTATCCATACTTTAGAACAGTACTTCTGCTGAATATAGAATATTTTTCCTGTCTTAATTTACAGCCATAATAATTGGAGGATGGTGATGTTATGCTATAGGAGCTCCAGGGCAGTGATTTGATGTACATGTTATAGGAAGCCATGTGAATTCTGGTGTTCTCATAAATTATAATATAAAGGATGTCTCAGGAAACCAGTAACCTTTGATTTGTTGTTACTTTTAACAGTGGTCGGATGATGAGAATACTACAACGCTTAAGGTAAGGTCCTGTAAACGCCCACTGTGGGTTTGTCAGCAGTATCCTTTCTGCAACCTTGTGATATAAACTTGTTGCCAGTTAGAAATATCTGTTGCTGTATTTAACATTTTTCAGACTATTCTAGATGGATGGCAGTGTAGATGTCTGTAACTTTAAACAAGTTTTGCTGGCTTAATTTTATTTAACTAAAAATAAAATGCTTTTCTTCATCCCCAACAATCACACACTTGTTAGACTATAGGAAATGAACTGAAGTATGGCTCTAAATATAGCTGTCTTTCATTTTCACCACTTTGAATATCTCCCAATTACTTAATCAGACTGGATGCAGAAGAAATGAAGCCCCTGCAGCTCAATTTTCACAGCTCTTCTCTTACACCTGTGCCATTATTTCCTCCTAAGTACATTTCTTTCTATCATATCTTTTTTTTTTTTTTTTTCCTTTTTCTGTCTGTATGTTCTCCTTGCACTCTGTCTGGCTTAGAATCAGGATCATGATGGATATGAATCAGGCTTCCGTGACCTTTTTTTTTTTTCTTTTTTACATCTTTTTTGAAACTGCTGTTGCCGTATCATTGTCAGAGTTGATATGTTTGTGTCATTTGTCTGATATTGATATTAATTCAGTCATATTAGGTCCCTGTTGTTCAACATAGTGTTGAATTGCTGACATTGCATTAGGTGCAATATAAACACAGCCCTGCTTTGAGTTGCGTTTAAGCTAGCACAGAATTTATAGCCTAGATTTTAAAACATGCCAAATCTGCACATACTAATAGCTTCAGTTAAGAATTCTAAGCTTTCATAAAGTAGATGCCTCAGATTGTAAATTATTTAAAACAAGCATTTTGGTATTCATCTTTTGCGAAGCTCACGTTAATGTTGCTAAAGAAGGAATGTCAGACTTCTCAATTGGGTTTCATTATAGCATACAACACAATAAGGAAATATATAATCAAGATGTATGATAACCATCCAAAGGGTATAGGCCAAGTGCTTTCAGGTTATCTGGGTAAGCATTGTGTACTGTGTAGGGATTCAGCTTTACAGCTAATGTTCTGCTGGGGCTGGCTGGGATGGAGTTAACTTTCAGCTGTTGCTGACCAGTGCTTGCAGAGCATCAAGCCTTTCTCTTTTCCTAGTCTGCCCCACACCCCTCCCAGTGACTAGGCTAGGGATAAGCAAGAGCCAGGACAGTTGACCCAAGCTGTCTTAAAAGATATTCCATACCATGTAACATCATGGTCAGAAACAAAAGCAGGCGGAGAGGAAGAAGAGGGGTGTTTTGGCTTCCAAGGTGGCTCTTGTTCAGAGACTGACAGGGCTTTGTCTTTTGCCAAACCTGGAACTTTCAAAATGGTTAATAAAGAACATGGTTTGTGCCTGTGTCTAGTTTCTACAAAAATACACCTACATTCATCTCTGGTCAAAGAAAGAGACTCTTAAAAGTAGAATTTCACAATGTGCTCTTTACCATCTTGTAAATTTGGTAGATGATTGCTCTAAAGACTCCATCCGTGGCAAACGTGCTTTCCCTACCTGAAAACTAGGGACTGCTCTGAGGTCAGTGAATGAATGGAAATAGTCTTCCGTGATTTTAAGTATTTGCCTGTTACCACTTTGCCAGTGATGAAGAGAGTGAAGAAGCAGCCTGTGTAGAATACAGAAGGGTGGGGAGCTTCATCTGGAGTTACCACAAGAGATGAGAATGGATCAAGTAGTCATGTGGAAGCTGAACAGGGAAACACAAGGGAACATAGTGTGTAAAGAAGAGTAGAACAGGCTGGAGATTGCTATTCTGCATTTGCTGTCAGCCTAGGGCATTACTGCCTTACTATCAATAAATCACAGGTTATAATTCCCTATTGGTTTCTTGGCAATCAGGTGAGCTGTGGTTGTGATTTATTCTGATTTGATGACCTGCCTGAGTTGTCAGGTAGAACTTGTTTCCCTTGCCCCTTCTATATTCTGAAGAAGAATTAGAATATAGGCTTACAGAACATTCTGTGTTTAAAAAAATATGCATTAATATTGATGGTTGCAAAGTCAGGCATTCAGAATTTAGGAAATGTTAGAATCTGGTTTGTTTATGCAGCCTTAGAGATATTCTCCCGGGTATAATTCTTCCCTTGTATTAATCAAATGACACAATGGTAACATTTCCCAAGGGAGACTTAGTGTGTGCTGGTATTACATATATAGTATGACTCCTGACTTCTGTCAAAACAAGAGGAGATTGGATCAGAATACAGTGGATGAAGAGTTTTACTTCTTGCAGGAGCAATTTCTAGAATTGACTGAGGCTCTAAAAATAAAGTAAAATAAGAGAAGTGCTTTTTCAGTTTTTAAGTGTAGTTTCCAATGGAGACTAGGTACCATACTAAGGAAAGATTCAGAATGTTTGAAGTTCAGTCTGGGTCACTGCGCTAGAATGTGAGAGGGGTTTTTTTTAAGTGTTTGTGTTTGAGGGGGCTGCAGAAAGGAGATGCCAAAACGTATGAACCTTTTTTTGATCACTTATGTGGCTGTGAGGGCTTTGTTGTTTTAGAGACATCAATTAGCTTTAGCCTAGATGTTATCTTTGAGTTGACTTTAAAAATATTCAGGCAGAAATAGTGTTCTTATATATCTTTTTACTATAAATCCTGTTACATGAAAAATCTTTGACATATGCCTGAAATCCTTTCATGTTATTTTGAAGGTCAGCAATCTGTTTTCTATTGCGCCACATTCAGGGTGGAATTTATAGCGTCCTGAGGAGTTTTTTCCCCTTATCTTATGTTTACAATTTTGACAATGTTCTTTACAAGACAAGGTTTTCTAGTCCAACCCATACTTTCGCAGTGTATCCTCTATTTTAATGCAATATATTGTTAAGGAATTACAGTAAGACCCAATTTAAGAGCTGTTTACTTAAAGTATTACTAACAACATTTTGTAAAATTAAAGCTTAAATGAGGACCTGTCACTCAAATTGCCTATGAATTGATTTATTTACTTTTGCTCTCTTACTGTGCTCCTAAATGCAACTAGAGAACTATTACAAACCAGAGCTGATCTCGTTGTACCTTTTAATACTTTGAAAGAATGGTGCAATATTTGTATTTTAGATTTTTTGTAGAGATGCTTCATTCTAAACAAACTATTACTGAAAGTTTGTTTGATTGTTTGTAAGTCTTCTTAGATCTTACTTGTATACAATAATCTACTACCAGGTATAAAACAAGAGGTTATGTATTTAAGGTCTGTTTATTTGTCTTGCACGTTTGCAAACTTGCAGTTTTCATGGGGATCATAATGAAGTTTTGGGGGTTTGTAAATTCTTGGAATCTTGTTAGCAATGAGGGTGAGAACTGGAAACACATTTTCAATTTTCTCTGATTGAAATAATGTCAGAGTTGATTCTTAAATAATTTATTTCTACAAATACATTATTTTTGTGGGGTTCTTGGTTCCTGATTTTGATCACGTTTATTCCTTCTACAATATGTATTTCTAACGGTATTGAGAAGATAACTACACTTCACTATTAAATGTATTGAAATTAATATTTTTGTTGTTGTTATTCTTTGTTCAGGCACCAGAATTTCCTGAGTTCACAGCTAAAGTTCAAGAAGCAATAAGTTCCTTGGGTGGCAGTGTTTTTCCTAAACTTAACTGGAGTGCTCCAAGGGTAAGAACGCTGACTCCCCAAACTTGTAATAGATGTTATCATAAGGATTTTTTGTTTGTTTGTTTTATCTTAATGCATTGGAAAGTAGAAGAGTCTAGTGGTTCTGATGAAGCAAGAAGTGATAGATAAGATATCAGTGAAGTGTGATACAGCAGATTGTTCTGGTGGATTAGAGCTAGATGCTGCACTGTTTGGTGAGGCTGATGCAAGGCAGCACTGGCTTAGTTACATAAAGTCCTGTATCCTTGTTATAGATAACAGTATGATGGTCAAAATCTTCTCATTTAGGATAGTCGTTGAAAACTTTACCTGGGATAAAGATTATTGCTTTTTTTAAAAAAATGTGGGGATTTTAAACTTCCCTCTAGTCATTTGCAGATACTCTTGACAATATCTTAAGGATGGATGCACCCAAATTTTTTTGTATCATATTCTCGAGGGAAACCTGTTCAGTTAAGCATTCCAAGAAAATGCCTTGAAGCGGTAAGGCAAAGCCTTAGGTTTTTAATGGATTTCCTCTGCTTTCAACAAGAGTATTCATAAAAGAAGCAGTAACTATTGTGTCTCTTGTAATAGCTAATGAAGTTTTCCTCAAAAAAAAAATATTTCTGTGTATATTTCAAATGTTGCATAATATTGAGATATCTCTGCAGCTTGCATTCCTTTCTGCTAATAAAAGTGCATTTTTGGATAATCTTTTTTGTTTAGGATGCCTACTGGATAGCAATGAACAGCTCTCTGAAATGTAAAGCTCTCAGTGACATCTTCCTACTCTTCAAGAGTTCAGACTTTATTACTCGTGACCTCACTCAGCCGTAAGTAGATTTCTATCAGACAATGTTATTTATACCCAGTCAAAAAATAGCCCAACCCTCTGAGGGTAACTTTTCAGTTCTTTTGAAAGATCTTACACTTTAGTGTACAGCAACAGTAAATATCTGATACAAAAATACGTATTTGTGTTTAAAAGTTGTTCAGGTATGGTAATACAGGTTTCAGGTACAGTAATAACTTGTTCTTTGAAGCTACCCCCACCCCTTCCCTCCTTCTTTGTCTCCCTCCACCATGCAAAAATAAATGCTGGGTCCAATTTAGTACAGAGAATTGTGAGGTAAATTATCTTCATTGTTACTTTCCATGAGTGAGCCTTTCCTAATAAACCAGAATTGGTTACCTAGCTTCAGTCAACAGTACAAATTACAAATACAGTGTGCTTGGTGTTTATTTTATCTGCTCACATGAAAAGAGTACTTAATTGTATAGGGGCAGTTTCCTCCTGTAGTACCTGCATCTGATTCCTGTCATTCATTTCTAAATATAGACTTTTTCTGAAAGAAAATAAAATTACTGGAATTTAATGTTGTTACTATGGTTAATATTGTGGTTTTTTTCAGAAAAGCAGAATTTCATAGAAAAGGGCAATTCATGGCTTGATATCTGAGAGATTGTTTTCCAGTAATTATTCAGTGCTTATTTATATTACTGCAATATTGAGGAGACTTGATTAAATGCAGGGCCTTTGTTCTAGGTGCTTTATAGAGGTTCACCAGGTCTAATAGTCTTGTGTTAAGTAGCTTATGACCCAATCAGAATTGTCTTGTCTAAAATGTGCAACCAGCTGCATTAATGCTGTGCAACTGGCTTATTTTTTATTCCTGCAAATTTAATAACACTTTTTACTCCCAGTTTGTTGGTACACTAAAAAAATGATAGGTAGCAACATCCTCACCCTTATCTCTGCATTTATGGAGTGCTAGCAACACTGTCAGTCCAATTCTGATGCTAGGTTTTACATTATGTCTAACCTACAACATTAGGAGGTGCAGGAGAAGAAAGTGAGGAGGGGAGACGATATTGGAGTGAGAAGACAGTTTGAAAAGTATGTTGGACTAGGGTAACAGTTGTGAGCACTGGGAATTCATGATTCTGGGATCATAGAGAATGAAAGGGGTGGAGGAGATGAGAAATCTATAGTTTACATTTCCAAGGTGAGTGAGTAGTGATTCTCAGAAGACTGTGGTGCCTTACCAAGGAGTTTTTTTTTCATGGTTTCCCCTAATGGGTGGCTAGGTGACTCAGCCAGGTGTCTTGAGGACGGTTTGCTCGGAAGGTTGAGCACTAAAATTTGATGTGTCCTTTGTTGTAACTGCTTTCAGAACTGAGTCTTGTGGGTCTGAGAAGAACTGTACACTTTGTATCATCCCTTTGTGAATATTAAATAATATGGGGTTTGTATTCCACTATCCTCATGTATAAAGAGGTTCAGCAAAAAGTACCCTGAGCTCCTTGGAGAATTCCTGCTTGGTTAACCACTTCCTAATGAATTTGGGACACAAGTGTTCAGCAAGCACCACTTGATTTAGAAGATGTGGCAACTCTGTGTGTGTGTGTGTTTGTGCTCCTAGTTTATGCCATTTTTATGGTAGAATTAATTGGTCCTTAGAGAAGGACCACCTTCTCTAAGACTTGAAACCAGTGCATTTTCTGTCAGGTTTTATCTCGTATCAGGTAAAGCTAGTGCCTCAGCTATTCATGAAGGCATTCTAGCTCCTGTGTTGTGAGATTTCACAGCATGGGTGTTAACTTGAACCATCAGTAATTTCACCTCAAGTTCACACCGTATTAAGAACAGTTGTGGCTGAGCAGCCTGTAGCAGACACGCTCTCTTCTACAGATCCTGCTGTAAGAGAATAACCCCTAGCTGAAAGACAACACCTCAAACTGCAGTAGTCCAATCCATCTAGACTCCTTTTCCAGTGTGATAAGACCATGCGCATTGCCAGATAGCACAGCTCAGCTTGTGGGTGGTAAATAAGCAAACCTTGTGACATGATTGTGGAATCATCACCTGATCGAAAGGCTAAGTTTAATTTGAGAAGTGTTGCATCTATTTCCTTTATAAAGTCTTATCTAATGTTGGTATAAATTTGGGTTATGATGGTTTTGTTGTTTGTTTGTTTGGTTGGTTTTTTTTATCAGAACAGACTTTGCTGTTTTGGTAAGGTTGAGTTAATATGGGCAGTGCTGCCTTGTGGTTTCCGTGAAATGAAAGTTATACTTGCAACTAGGGGAATGTATGTAATTTGTAAAATCATTTTGATTTCTATGTATCTTATATTTTATGAACATCTTGGTTTTGATTAAAGCACATATTATTGTCTAGTCTTAGCATGGTATTTCTAAATTACGAAGTTATTTGTACAAAATGTCCACACCCAAACAGTGAAATGATTATTGCTGAACCAGAACAGTGGTTTTCCTTAATTATACTATTGATTAGCTGCCTGTTCCCTAGTCTTTAGCAAGCAGAAATAAAAAATGTAGCTGGTATAAGAACCTGAAGTGCTGAACACGTGAAAATTACGATACATAATACATCCAGATCCCTTGGGAGGGCTACTTGGAGGATAAATGCACTATATTTCTACTTCTTTCATTAATACTTAGTATGGTATAAAGTTTCATGCCCTGCATAAGTAACTGCTGAAATGTTGTATACCCTTTTTTGTTTTGTGTTGTTTTCTGTTCAATTGTATTAACTTAAAAATCCACTTCATGGGTCATAATACAGAAAAGGCTTTGCCATGGCAATTTGAAGATCTGTTTCTTAATCCAGCTATGCCAGTGATGTGGAATTTAAGGCAAACCACTTTCTTTGCCTCTTCCTTCCTCCCCTGTTTACTATGTGCTTATCTGGTATCAATCTATACATTGTTCAGGTCAGGGAACTGCCCTTGCTGTAATTCTCAACTGTCTAAAGTTCTGAGAAAACTTCAACTGTGCAGTACTTCAGTAAAAACCATTTAAAATATGACCTTAATGCAAATATACTGAGCATTAGTAGATAAGATTTGACTATTTTAAATGTTTGGATTTTCTCATGATGTTGACACTTTGTGTGGCTGAAAAGTTCAGAATAATGAGTTAACTTTCCTCCTTTGTATAAATCAACAAAGACTTCAGAGTGATGCACTTACTAATGTAGTCAATGTTTCTGCTTCAAAGTAAGCATTGCATTTTACTTAGCTGAGTTCACAAAAAAACTTCTGGGTGGTGTGATCCTTAACTTTTCAGATTTTAATGTAGGTTTTCAAAAACAGTGTTGTGGAAGTATGATTAAAAAAAAAAATCCCATTTTTAATTGGGATTTATGTTAAGTGATTAAAACTCCTCATTTGAACAAAAATCCTTTTAGAGACCTGTTGAGTGTATTGGTTTAAAACACAGTTTTCATCCTTATTATTAGCATGTGTGGACTACATCTTGTTAAGACATGATTGCCCACCTTGAGACTGATATAAATATTAGCATAGTTCTAATGATATGATAATGCCCTTTCACTTATAAGTTGGTTGTTATATTATGCCCATTAATAAACCTTGGAAATTTTGTCAAACTGTGGAGTTTGTTCCTGTTGTATAGGTCCATACTGATGTTTTAAGTCTACAGATGCTACTATTGGGATTTTGAACACTGAAGTGTTCTTATTTTTCCAGTTGTTTAATAATCACAACCACAGAGGTGAGATAAGAAGTCCTCTAAGTTCAACCCTGTTGAAAAGCAACCTAATGCAGAGAACCTCTTCTGCAGGGATTGCCCTTTGCCTTATCATAGAGAGGCAGTATGAGTCACATGCAGGAATAGCAGTTTTCTGATGTGCACTTAAGTGTCGTAAATTGTCACGCAGTATTTTATTGGACCAGCTGATGCTATGGACCTGTTACTTTCAAAAATTCATCCCTCAAAATTCTTTGAGAATTTACTTCAGCTGGTTAGACAGGTGAAGTAGAGTCTAAAAGTAGCCACTGAACCCTGTCTAAGCCCAGTAAATGGAGTGAAGGGACCATCTATGCCACATTTAGTAGGTAAGAAGTATCTACTAGGTTAACAGAGCTGATGAAACTTTCAACTCCCGCTGGGCCAAGAAAAAGTTTCCAAATGTATTGTTGTGTAAGATACAAAGGAATGTGAGGGGAGATGCGGGGTTTTGTTTAGGTGTTTATAAGAGGGCTTTGTTAAAATTTAAGCGCCTGTTTCTGAGAACAATTGAGAAAGTCTGCTCTTGAGTGAGGTTTAGCCCATCAGACTCATAAGAAACTGTACAACTTTAAAACCTAGCAGATGTTTCAATCCTTTTTGTTTTTAAGCTAGTGTTCTGGATACATTTTTGATACCAGACTTAATGCTTTTAAATACTGAATTACAAGTGATAAAGAAATTACAAAGTTTTTCTGAGATGTGGAGAAAACAGCCTGTGTTCTCCTAACAGAACATAGGAGGCAGTGTTGTTTCACGAAGATGTGACTTGGCACTCGGGATAACTTTTTGCAAGAACGGTAGCTGTTGGTTTAGTCTTTTGTGTAACCTATTCTGAGGTAGACAGTTCCCCATGAGAGGATGTGGAAAATGAGGCCTTTTTGATTATTTTTTTTTCTTGAGGTTTTACTCACATGCCATTTTTCCTAGCAATTTACTTTGTAGTACAAGATCCTCTGTTGAACGGTGCATGAGTTTCCTATTTCTTTTAGTCCTTAAAGTTCCGGCAAGGTTCAGTATTCAATAAATAAAGATGCAGTTCAAAGGCTGTTAGAAGTTTCCCCTTGTTTTGTTTTTTTTTTAATTAAGGTTTTAAAATAAGTGATGAGGTAATAGCAGGGGAACTGTCAGGTACAGAGTAACTTTTACAATTTTCATTATATTTGCAATAGTTTATTATCCTCAGACTAATCTCAGTGATTTGCAAATGAGTTCATGGCTCTCTTAGCAGGGTTGGTACTGGAGGACTTAGAAACCTTTTAAATTGCTTTTCTCAATGTTGAAAACTGAACTACATAATGACTTCATGTAGTGGTCCAGTGGTCAAGTATATGCATTTGGAGATTAACATACTACTGCTACATATAAAGAGACCTTGATCCTTATGTTCTTGACATCTAAGTATCAATCTGTAAACAAGCTGTTGACCACAGCACAAGGCCTATAAGCAGTAGAGTTTAATTCCTTCACGCTTAGTAGTATTCAAAATGACAGTTTTCAAAGGCTTCAGAAAAGAGAGCCCAGATATCTCTCAATTTTGTGTTCCTGAAGTCTTTATTACTGTTCTTTCAAGTACTTCCAAACCTGAATGGGATGCGAGTTAAAGAAACCCTGCTCAGCCTTCTGCCTCTTTTGATCATAAGGCCCTATGTAATAGAGGAATTCAGCTGGGTCTGAACAATTAATGTTACATTAAGTTGGTGAAAAATATAAAACTGCAACTACCCAAATTTACCCCCCCAAAAAAGGGGTGGTAGTAATGTCCTTTTGTTGACAAAAACTCATGATACTATTTAGAAGGAGAATGAGACTGCAAAACCCCAAGTTTATTTTGTCTTCTGCTGCGTGCTCCCCTTTTTTTCTCATTTGTTCTCAGTCCTGTGCTCAAGAAAAATAATGTTACTGTGTCTTGCAATATTTTTGTCTATATTCTTTGTTTTTCCTGTTTGCTTGATCTGGCAGCAGTACCTGAGCAATCCGTGTGGCTTAGGATGGCACCCAAGGATTTAATTTTCTGACTTACAAGGAAAGAGGAAATGTCTTTCCCCATATATCTCTCCCCCAAAATATCTGAGGGTTGAGGCAGGGGGTAATTATGATTGATCATAAGGTTGTTTTCTGACTGCTGGAAAAGCCTGCATGGCATTGGAATGAAGCTGATTGCAGGTAACCCTATGTCAGATCTGGAAGTCTGTTGAGAATACAGGTCCTAGTGTGCAGGGACTGTAAAACTCCATGTGCTGGACTTCCGCTGCATTTTTATATATAGCTTATGATTTTTGGGTGGGGAGCGAGGTAGGTATTTTCTTGAGCATGGTAGGCATAATGCTAGTAAGGGAGGAATTTTGAGTCTATCAAAACTTGCAGGCTCCCATGAGTTTTTCTGTTGCCTTAACAGGTCTTAAATTGTGGGGAATATAAACTGTAGTTGAAGGATGTTATCTGTTTACATAGGCTTACAGATGTATATGAACTGTTTGATTATGGTACTTTTGGAAAGTATGACTGCTGTCGCTCTTCTTTTCTGTTTGTAGTGGATATTAAAGTCTAAACTAAAATGTGTGAAATTTATTTCTGCTGGCAGTGTGCTGAATGAACTCTTAAGATAGCTCTTCACTTCAAACCAAAGGCTGGGCAGCCGTGTCTTACAAATGCAATGCTTATGTTAGAGATGTTAGACTTTTGAATTGCTTAACTAAGCTCAGTGCCAAAGGGAGATAGTCTAAATGCTGCCATTTAAGACTGTTGCTCAACAGCGACCCTTTACACAGTTGTGCTTCAAAGTCATTTGTTGCCAATAAGGTCAGGGAGTACACTTGGAGGGAAAATGCATGTTCTTTTGCTAATCCCCTTTGAAAGTTACAGGATTTATTGCAAGGTTGCTGTAAAACAACAAAATGGTAGAAGTTGGCTTGGGTGTACCTGCCTCCATTCTTGATACATCCTGAAAGGTGACACACAGAGTCAGCTGCTCACAAGGGATAAAACCTTGACGTCTGCTTGCAGTTATGGAAATAGTTTTGTTTATTCCCGCTCTCAAGAGATTTGTAAGAGTATTTCTTAAGGCTCTTAATTTAGAAAGATACCATGCTGTGGAATCAGAAGTGCCGAGTGGTGCTGTTTTGCATCCCTTATTCATGGAAATGAGCTGCTGTAAGGCATGATGATGTGTCTCTGTTGTGTGGTTTAGGAAGTTAAACATTAAAAGTACTAGGGAAAACATGCTGCAATGAAACTACATTAGATTGCTCAAGTTCATCTGGTTCCTTGAGAATCCAGTTATGCCAACATAACAATAAAGAGGAAAGGAGCAGCACTGTTGATTCAAACAAAAAAACCTCAGCAATAAACACTCACATTTGAGCCACATCCCTGTCCAAATTTGAGTGCTTCCAAATTATAGTAAATAAAAAGAGGAGGGTGATTGGTTCCCCCCGCTAGTAACTGTCAAAAGGACATTTGTTACCGATACATTTAATTTACTAGGTTTGTATGTCTTGGAGATAATTTAACAGTAGCTTTTGTGATTCACAGTTCGGGGTTATTTTTCTCACTATCGCCAAAATCTCATATGTAAAGCATATTTTGATGCCTGTACCTTACTTTTCCAGATTTATTCACTGTACTGATGATTCCCCTGACCCTTCCTTGGACTATGAGGTAAGACTCTTTGCATGATTTCTAGGTAATTTAAGTGAATTGCTCACAGGCAGGCAGCTATTTGTGCTTGGGCATTTGCCCACAAAATCTGTTTTATTTATTTTAATTGTGTTGCTTGGGCAGTGTGGGGAAGCCTGGTTAAGCACTGCAGGTCATAAGGAGTTCATTTAATTACAGATCAGAGATGAGCTAAAGTTCAAACTTATGAAGCTTCCTGTTAGTTTCCTCTCATGTCTGCCAGGAAGGACGAGTTCAATAGCTGAAAGTCAGATATTCCTGACAGCATGCTGCTTGTGTATATCACAACTGAGGTTACTATGAGAGAAGCTAGCTGTAGGGGCTGGGGACCTCCCGAATTGAAGTATTCTATCATACTGTGTTTCATATGCTCGTTAGCAGTTTAAAATTTTAAGTTAGCAATGTAGACATTAACAATGCTTTAAACTGTTCATGGGGTGCTATCACTTCTGTAATAACATCTAGTCATGTCTCTAATAATAAGTTTTATTTAAATATAGCATTTGTCATCATCCTATGGGCTTAAAGGGCTTTAGAAGAGTGAATGAACTCTGTTTTTTTTAAAGCAGTTTCTTAATGTGCTTTAAAAATACAGGACATCTGAAAGTTTGAATGAAGAATTTCGTGTTTACTCGGTAGTTAGGAGAGTCACCTTTGATTATTGAGGTTTTTCCACTGTGGTTGATACGTGTCGGGAGTTTCCAGTATCCATGAGCAGTAATGAAGGCCCTCAAAGTATTGGATCCATCTGAATGTGACTTGGATCACAATGACCCCATGCAGCACGTGGAGGACAGTGGCTGGAAAGGTGGCGCTGGCGGCAGAGGACCTGGGGGTGTTGGTTGACAGTCATCTGAATATGAGCCAACAGTGTGCCCAGGTGGCCAAGAAGGCCAATGGCATCCTGGCTTGTATGAGAAAGAGTGTGGCCAGCAGGACTGTGTGTTTTTCCCTTCGTGCTCAGCATTGGTGAGGCTGCATCTCGAATACTGTGTTCAGTTTTGGGCCCCTCACTACAAGAAAGACATTAAGGTGCTGGAGAGTGTCCAAAGGGCAGCGAAGCTGGTGAAGGGTCTGAAGCACAAGTGTTATGAGTGGCTGAGGGAACTGGGGGTGTTTAGCCTGGAGAAAAGGAGGCTGAGGGGAGACCTTATTGCTCTCTACAACTGTCTGAAAGGAGGTTGTAGCGAGGTGGGTGTTGGTCTCTTCTTCTCCTGTTGCTTGTTCCTTAGGAGGGGAAGTGGCCTCAAGTTGCACCAGGGGAGGTTTCGGCTGGATATTCAGAAAAATGTCCTCACTGAAAGGGTTGTTAAGCATTGGAACAGGCTGCCCAGGGAAGTGGTTGAGTCACCACCCCTGGAGGTATTTAAAAGATGCGTAGATGTGGCACTTAAGGACATGGTTAATGGTTGGACTTGATCTTAAAGGTCTTTTTCAACCTAAATGATTCTATGATTCAATGAATACTTAAGCTTAGGAAATGCAGAAATTTGAGAAAGTGCCAGAGATATATATGCTTTAATTACCAGGCAGTCTGTCCTATTGATCATAATAGTTTGGTTACTATTTCTATCCTGTGTCCTTATTTTAACTGGTTTGCGCCTTCAAAGGCGTCACAGAATTCTGCTTGGGTGTATACCAGAATAGAGGTTGATTTGGTTAAATTTAATTCTGCTCATCAGCTCTTTTGACTAGGAAGCAAGTTTCTGCCAATTCCATGACAGATTTGTTGTGTTGTATAGCAGGTTTTTTTTTTGTTTTCTCTGCTTTATCATTAATGTAACTTTGAAGTTGTTTCATAAATAATATCACAATTCTAAATACCATACAAAATGGAAGAACATAAGATAATTAAGGTGGGAAGGGGCTTCAGGAGGTCTCTAGTCCATTCTCATGCTCAAATCTGTTTAAGCAATGAGATCAAGTCATGTTGTTTGGCATTTTATGAAATGTGGTCTGAAAATCCCAGTGGATGGAGGCTGAGCAGCCTCTGTGAGGGAGTTGTTCCAATGCTTGACAGTCCTCACGGTGGAAAAGCTTATGTCCAGTCTGAACCTTTCTACTTTAAACTAGTTTGGCTAGGTGGTCTTTCTTTAAAGGTGCCTTCCAATGAAAAGCATTCTGTGATTCTATTAAATTAGTATTGTCTAATTGCTTTGAAGTATTTGCTAAGATAATTATGTGAACTGCAGGTTAAGACTGGTTTGTTTTCTTGTATCAGAAATAACGTCAGAGGTCATCTTGTCATTACAGCAAAACTGTAGCTCTAGAAGGTGTACCTGTTGATGAAAAGTTGCATGTTACCTTCTGAAACAGTACTTTAACATTTATTTTTCCTCTATAGCTTGTTCTTCGCAAATGGTGTGAATTGATCCCTGGTGCAGAATTCAGATGCTTTGTCAAGGAAAACAAGCTTATAGGTGAGGATTTTTGTAAAGATAGAATTATTAGGTGAAGTTCTGAGGAGTTTCTCCGATTCCTTGAATCGGCACTAAATATGAAGACAGTTCTTTAACACACATCATTTCTGGAATTACATTTTCTTCTTCTTTCTGTAATTTAAAATGTGGCATGCCTCATTTCTCTTTTCACTGTCATTGAAAGCCTGATGACAGCGTGCTCAATATTACAGTGGGAATATTCTTAATTCTAATTGCTAATTCAGAAACTTCACCCAAAGGCTTTTTGATAACTGATTCTTTTATATTCAGGAGCAAATTGCGTCATCTTCAACTTGCAGAATGAATACAGAGGTACTTGAGTATTATGCTGATAAAACATAACCACATGTGGATATTGTACACAGAAAGTTGGGGAGGTCAGAACATGGCCATGGGTGTATGAGATGTCTGAGCTCATATTATATTCAGTGTAGCTTAGTCAGAGAACGTGTTGATCTGTTACTTTGGTTCACAATCCTAAATGTAAAACGTTTCAAGTGGCACTGAACAGCTAGGGTATCCACAGCATGCAGCGGGCTGGTGGGTTCATCAGGAGAGCTGTGACAGCTGGAGGACAGGCAGATTGTGCTAGAGCATATATTTTAGGCAGCTCTGGGGTAAATTTAGCTGAATTACGCTCCTCTGGAGGTATTGACTATTCTCTGCTGACTATAACAGGAGCGTAGACATCTAGTGCACATACAGGTGCTTGAACTGAGGGGTTTGATTTCAGACAATGCTATTCTGGAGTTTGAATTTGGTTTTGGCGTGGTCTACTGTGGAATCTTAAAGATGAACACAAATGTAAATAGCACAGGACTGGTGCACATTTGTCCTTAACAAGATTGAATCATTCTGCCTAAACTCCTCTAACAAGGAAATGTTGTAACAATGATGTAGCAAAGTTCTAATCCAGATTTTATAGGAAGGAAGATGTTTTTTTGCTTTAAAACGAACCCAAGCTTGCTCATCTTGCCTGTCTCATACCTACATATTCACAAGCACCAAGATGCGTATATACAAGTGGTCTGTCCAGGATTCCTTGTGATGGTATGGAAGGGATATTGGCTATCTAGTCCTCATTGTTTCTCCTGGTTTCTTCTCAGCATGGTGACTGTGTGCTTGTTTTGGATGTGCCTCTTCGTAGCTGTTAGGAGCTGTCAGCAATTTGTCGCTCCATCCTGTCCCACCTCTGTGAATCACTATGAACATACCCTCTGTTGTTTGTTTTCTGATCTGGGTGTCCTGTGGAGCTGCACATAGATGTTTTGAGATGTGCTAATCTAGGTACTGACACCACGTAGCGTTCTCATAGCCCCTTTATTTGGCTGTTCCTTCTGGTGCTTGTATGTTCATCTTTCCATCCGCTCCCCATTCATGCCAGTTGCAGGGTTTATTACGGTTCTCTGTAACAGAGTTTATCTTGCTAATAGCAGAGGTTCTTCATTAAGCTGGTATTGTTTAATGGCTACTCACATAGCTTTTTGAAGAGGGAAGAGCTGAATCCTGTCCTGTTATGTTCTGCTGGAACACTACAACTGCCAGAGATATGCATCACTAAGAACATCTAAAACATTTGAATATAGATTTATTAGAGAATATATATAGCGATACTGACTTTCAAATACCTCAAAGCATTTGTACACTGGCTAATTAAACACTCTGTATGTTTCATTACTAGGTTTTGAAACCTAGTAGATCTACCAATGTGGGGTTTTTTTAGCTAGCACTCCAGCTGCATTTCTGAAGACAGTTCCAAGATTTTTCACAGTATGTTCCCATGCTCTTAAAATTAATAAGCCTGTCAGTCAAACTAAGGAGTGATACTTGCAGTGTAGTGAATGAATTTCCAGTTACACATCTGCATCCCCTGAGATGCCACCATCTCTTGGTTGTTGTTTTTAGACCTGAGTTAAGCTTTGTGGTGATATTAATAATTCAAAGTTCCACTGACATCATAAACTTTATATGAATTTTTTTAAACTTTGGAGGTAGTCAGCATTGTCTTACAGTAAAACTTAATCTCTGTGTTTTGTATATGGTTAAACCAGCAAGCTGCCATCATTGATACATCCTTCTTGGGGGATTCTGGCTTTTTCTTACCCTAAATAGCATAAGTTGCTCATTCTGCAGTGATGGGGCAAGTCTTGGTTCAACATTTGTCCAGCAGGGTATTGCAGTGGCTTGTGTTGACACATAATGTATGAGAACTTCTGTAGCCTAAGATGCATGCAAGTATATAATCCTGTTGATGTCAACTTAAACTATTGTCTTGTAGACAAACAAATGTCAGAAATTAAGAGCTTGGAATGTTGCTGGGATAGTTGATCTAATGTCGGATATGCAAGAAAACCCTTAAGGGGGCAAAGGAGAGAATTAAGGTACTAGACTGCATGCAATCTCATTGATTTTAGGATTTAAGGTTTCACCTTTGGTGCCTTACCAAACAAGTATGTGTTATTCCGCACTTAAAAGACTGGTTAAATGACAATCTGCATGATGTGCTAGGATCTATCATCTTTGCTAATGTGCAGGCTACCCCTTTCATTTCATGGTTCCAAATTCTGGTCCCTACATCTGACGTGCAGAACAGAAAAGGTGTTTGACCAGAGTAACCAGAGTGGGTAAAACTGGAAGGAAAAGCAGGAACTGGAAACATAAACACAGGCAAAGGTTCCTCCAGAAATTAAAATAGTCAAAGCATGTACATATAAAATGAGGCTTACAAAATGTAGGACAGAACTGCTCAAGGAAAAGATTCCTAATGGAAATGCTTTAGGTATAGGAGAATAAAGCCAAACAGTAAGTCATTGGTAATGGTTGAAACTTGGGAGAACCCTGTTTTCCGAAATGTAAGTTATAACATGCATGTCTAATAACTACATTTTGTCTGGTTCTGTTTTTTGCATGCCTAAAGCTCTTTATAATCAACTAAAACCATTGACAGGTATATCACAGAGGGACTACACTCAATACTACGATCATATCTCTAAGCAACATGAGGAGATCTGTAGATCAATACAGGAGTTTTTCAAGAAACACATACAGTATAAATTCTTGGATGAAGACTGTAAGTACCTTAAGGCTTCAATGAGCAAGGGGATCATGGGGGAGGGAAAGAGGATGTTTATGAAGGTTTTTAAATACTTATTGCATGCATAGTTACAAGGACTTAAAAACAGAAATGAAGAGTCTACCTCTTTGAAGTTCTTTTGCAGCATACTGGGAGGTTTGAAATTGAAAGGGCTTGCAGGGCAAACTCTATAGAAATGAGACCTGTCCTCCTGCCCCCTTGCTGTTGCTGAGCCAGCTGTGTTTTCTCCACAGTGCACCTAGCTGCAGTGCGCTAAATTCCAATTTGCTGCTGGAGATCAGTGTTAAAACAGGTTCATCTCAATAAATAATGGCCTCCCTAATATCTTAAGTCTGTGGATATGCACCACTCTCTTCATAGCTATTGCTTTCACATGGCTTGGTTCTTTTTAACTTGGAAGAGCCTTATAGCTCTTGTGGCTAGAGCATGCAGAGCAATGTAGCTTTTGAATGACTGTAAAATTGACAACAAAAAACCCCTGAAGAAATAGGCTGGAGCTTTTCAGCAAAACACAATGAATGAGTGAAAGATCCCTTCAGAAGGAGTAATGAATTACTTTTTCTTTTTTTTGAAGGCTTTTTCCCCTTATACTTGTTTTTAATTAAGAATTCTAAACCTGAGAAGTGAGGTAGGAAATGCATAACAAAAAGCATTCAGCTGTAAGAAGAATAGTTATTTATATAGATGTTGTCAGATGTTCGCTGCTAAATTATTGATGTATTCCTTGAAGAAAGCATTTGTGAGTTTCTCTTCAAGAAGTTACAATAATTTCTCCATGAATATCAATGCATAGCAGTTTTGCTGCTGAAACTTTTGACTAAAGGCCATGGTATCTGATACACCTAAGCAGCCCAAGTAAATTGTCTTGTTCTTTAAATGTGAAGCCCTTTGCAAATTTTATTGGAAACAGTTTCCTGACATGGTTTAGTGAGAATTTAATAGTATTCCATTGTGATGGGTGATCAGTTGTGAAAAATATGATGAAGTTGTTTATGTTGGGTCTGGCATGGACCAAACCTCAGTTTAATAAAATACATAAACATAAGAATTGTCTGTTGGATGGATTGTCTTCTATAAAGCTTCGAAAACGCAACCTTTAGGTAAGTTTTGAACATGCCTAATTATTTTGCTGAGCCACCAGAGCAATCAAATAGATCTGTCCTGTCTGACTTCTGAAAAAGTTACTTTCTAATGCCAGTCTCTATTACATTAAAATTCTTAATAATTTGACTCTGGACAGTTCCTTTTATTTCAGTCCAGAGTTCTCAAGGACCACTGCTTAGAGAAGACTAGTAGTCTGGAAATCAGTATGCTGATTTGATAGGTCCATAGCCCTGATGTTTTGAACTGAGATCAGTCATATAGATCTGACATTCTGATTACTGTCTTAATTTTCCTCTGTGTGCCAATGTAATTTTAGCTGATATGTAATCAACTGATAGATAAGAATTCAGGGCACTATTTTTGGAAATTCATGCCTAGATTTAGGTTCTGAAACTGCTGTCTGGTGAACTGAAATGTCTGAAGTGTCATCTTACGTAAAGGACGTAGAACTGTGCCATCTGGGTTACCTTCTGGAAAGAGGAGTTTTCAGGGTGACCTTCTAGGATGAAGGTTTGTGAACCTTTTGTCCTTAGGCACTAAATGCCAGTGACTTGTCCATCTGTAGAGGAATGCCATGAAGAAAATATTTTTACCACCTTTCATGCATCCCCCATCATATCACTGACATACGCTGACATCATACCACATCACATACACTGTCAGGTAGCCCATATGTTGTTAACAATAAAAATCTGGGTTTGCTTGTTTGTTTGCTTTTAGAAAGAAAGGTATTATAGCTTTTTTCCTGACTTCTTATTTCGTTGGGGATTTTGATGATGTTTGTTCTGCTTTTTCCAGTTGGTCTGGTAGCATTTCCAGATGGAAGAGTTGAGTCAGAGCAGCTGAAGCATTGCAGAGTCAGAGCAGTAGGATAACAGATGGGTTGAATGATATATAAATACTTCTAAATGTTGTTAGAACCTTCTAAATACCTTTTATAAGAGCCCAGTAAGAACAGTATTTTGGAGGTATTGATTCTTACTGTAGAGTTGAGCCTTGGCTTACCTTTCATTTAGAGCAATTGCTGGTAAAGTTTTACTAGTCTCACTGGTACATGACACTCCAGCTCCGAGGTGGTCCCTAAGAAGAGGGAACAGTTCAGGTTTTCTTCTCTATTCTGTGTTTGTGATTGTCCCAAACTAGCCACTAATGTGCAATCAGTCTTAATAGGGATGTAAACCCCACTAACTGCTGTTAGCCTCAATGATTGCCATAGGGCTGACAGGCTTTATTTTATAATAAAGCTCAGATGCAAATTTTCCATTAATGGACTATGAGTGATTTGAGTACATGTTATAGGCAACAAGTTCAGTTGAACAGCTGAAGAAGAAATCTAGGGTTGCTGTACTCCTCTTTACACTGATGACTTACTTAGACACTGAGGACTTGTCTTGAGAAAATACAGCACTTAATTCCAGAGTGACATTTTAAATTGACGTAACTGAGCTTGTGCAAAAAGCTGTGTTTTAAGCTATATGGTCAAAAGCAGTTATGTGACTGGCTTTGGTGTTGTTGAATTGTGGTTTGCCCTTAGTGCAGCCAACTTCACATGAAATGTTAGATTAAGCTGCTGAGTAGCTTTACGTACATGGATGTGATCAATCAACATCCCTGTTACTGACGGGCAGCTTCCTGAGTAGTTGCTGAGGCTCAAGTGTTCTTCAGTCATATCCTGAGTTTAGTTTATCCTGCACGTATTGGGAAATCTCTTAGCTGAAATATTCCCTTCCTTATTAGTGAAGGAAGTGACAATACATCATTTGTCTGAGGCTTTTCTTAATCTGTCTTCTTTTTTTTCTTCCTCGCTTTCTTTCTGCTAAACTGGTACAACTTCTGCGTGTAGTCATGCCTGAATGCTTATCTGTCGATTTCCCTAGCTGAATAGAAAGACAAAGATTTGTTTAACCATACAGAACAGAAGCTAATAGAAAGATGCATGTACAAAGATTCATGCTTAATTAAGTCACGGGGAGCGACAACAATGGAGCAAGGCAGCTTTGCGTCAATCACTGGGTATCAAAGGGTCTGTTTGAAAGAGCTGTTGATAATCAGTAGGTGGGCTGTAGCTGCTCTGGGTTACATTAAACATAGCCATTTCACTGCCACCTCCTCCTCAGCACACCCACCGACCCCTTTGTTCCTACAACCTGTTTGTCTTGTTATCAGCTGCAGTCCTAATCTCCTTCAAGCAGGAACTTTCTCTTATTAAATGTTTGGGCAATGTCTAGCACAGTGGAGTCATGATCCTTCCTTGAAACTTCTCTGTTTGCTGTAAACCAAACAGCAGTAATGTGGAAGATAAGCTTCTCTCTGTGCTAAGAGTTTATCAAATGTTCTGCGTTGGGGGTGAAAATTAACAGAAGAAACCAACATTAAATGGAAAAAGCCAGAGCTAATCTCTCAGTACATTAACAGTAGTTCTTGAAATGTTTCGATTCCCTCTTGGAAATGAACCTGATTCTGGCTTGCAGTTCTTTAGACGTATTGACTTTGGAGATTGTGCTGTGTACACTATTTATTCAGATTTAGATGTGTTCTGTGAAATTGTATATCTTCTAAGATTAACATTTTTTTTTCTCCTTTTCAGTTGTTTTTGATGTGTACAGAGACAGCAGGGTAAGTGAACAATAGGTTGTATATAATTGTTTATTCTGTGGAAACTTCCTGAAATGCTACAGAGGTGAAGCAAATAATAGCTTCATCTTCCTAGAAGTGGTCCTGGCAAAAAGCAAACAAGCAAACAAATCCTACTTCATGTTATCATTCTGTTCCCCAGGTCTTTTTCTATGTTAGACACTGTCCACAGTAGGAGAATAATAGGATTAGGGGTGTAAATATGTCTGCGTCAGTGATGTAATTATTTAGTAAATACCTTCCAGAGAAGTAATCTGTCACGTAACTTTGGCTTCAGCTGCAATTCTGCCAGGTCTGTGGATCTACTGAAGGCTATTTAGCTTTCTTTTAAGATGGGGTCTTAATCAATATGCAACATTACTAAATTGTTTTAGCAAAGCACTACCTGTTGCTAAGGTTCCCTCTGCATAGTGGTTACTCTGGGTGCTTTTGATTGAAATGTATCTGCACATTCAGCCAGAATGGCTGGGATATTTAAAAAAATAGGGCAGCTGTGATGTTTTGCTCGCTAAAAATAAATTGGGGGATTCTTACCACCTTTTCTTCAAAAGAAATCATACCTAGAGCTGCTGCTTTTTTTTTTTTTTCCCCGTGATATTTTTCCCTTATAGCATCTGAACTCATCAAAACTAATAATTTCTTTAGATTATCCTTGTGAGGTTGGAAAATTATAACTTGTACTTCATATATGAAAGTCTAGGTTTTGAAGGATAATTGTCAAAAGAGTATATGAATTTGGTGTGCCCAGTTTGAGACTGATAGAGGCTAATTTTTTCTTTTCAAGCTGTGGTTCAGAGTGCTCAGCAAATCAAAACCCTGAACATCCAGATAGTGATGGAGAAAAACGTCCCATCCAAACTTCAGTTGCCAATATCTGAGTTAGTCACCTTGAACTCTCCTAGTGTCAGTGGAGAGAAATAGGTTAGATGAATTGTGCTTGAAAAGCACACACACACACACACATATGTATTGTTTCAAAATGCAACCACAATCAAAAATGCATTATGTAGCCTTAAATCACAATCTGATTTTGGGAATCACACTCTGATTTTGGGAATCGTACTAGTGCATGAGAAGTAAGTCTTTGTTTTAGCTTAAATTTCGTTCCAAATCCTAAATCAGAAATGAAAAAAAAAAAAAGCTATATACTTTTGCTATATAGATGTATGAGTCTCACTGTTAGACTTATTTGCACTCATGCGTTTGGAGAGGGTCTTTATTTGAGTTGAGTTGTATTTGTAGTAAGTCCTGATTCTAACTTTAAATGTTGATAAAGTATTTTGTAATTATGTAATAGGAAATCGTGGCATAGTTTGCAAATCAGAAACTAAACAGGAATATGTGTCATGTGGAAAGCAATTCTTGTACTGTTACTCAGCACAGCTTCTAATGTAGGTACCTAAAATCAGGCTATGGGCTAAAACCAGCCGTGCTGAATGGTAATGGAAATTACCTGTCCAGGCTCAGACTGTCATGCTTGAGGATGCTGTCAGGCAAAACAAGGAGCAACACTACAGTATTGAACCAGGTTCTGCTGTGGGGTACTCTGCCTCACAGCTGAGGCATGGAGACCAATTGTTTAAGTGAAAGGTTTCAGCCTGTGTGATCTCAAAGGAGCAGCGTTTCTTCATCCGTCAAGATAAAATATATCTGTTTGTAGATATCTCTCTGTGCCTTCTACCCTCAGGTCTTGCAAACTGCCAGATAGCCCTTTGTGTGTCAGAACCTCCTCCTTTCACACATACTTTTGTGGTTTGCAACCGTATTATTCATCGTTCCCTTTGTATGTGGGTTACAGGCAGCAAAAGAATATTGAGTGTTGCCGAGTGTGATTAATTTTCAGAGCCCGTGCTCCTCATCAGACTGGTTGCACGGCAACCTCACCTACAGAATGAGAGAAATGTCCAGTGTCTGCCTATTTTAAATTCTTTCAACTTTTTAAATATTCAGCATGGAGAAGCTTGGGTTTTGATGTGGTTGTGAATAAGAGCAACCCCCTCTCTGCGCTTGCTTTAGTTACTTGACAGACTGTACGGAGTAGGCTGCCCAGGTCCTGATCATTGAGTTGCAGGCTGCATAGAAGCAGCGGTGGCCTGGTTGAGAACAAGCTTTTATGTGTCTGCCTTTCCTGTTACACTCTCTTTGCCGAGTTAATCTGAGCTAGTGCCTGACTTTGCAGACAAGTCATCTTTTAAGGAAAAAACACTGCCATCCAAGCTGGATGACCTGGAGACCTAAACCTGAAGAGGTTATGTTGCAGGACTGGTAGCCTGTTTTCATTTGGATCCACTTCTTTAATATTTTATTTTCTGCTAGCAGTCCACAACTGCTGTGCAGGCAGCTGAGAAGCCTGAGAATCAGCTCTGCTGTTGCTTTGTATATCTCCCAGATGTTAAAAGCTTTTAACCATGTTCAAGACAAGTCACTGTGGTAAGACAAGGAAGTACAGTGAGTGACTTCAGACCACTGCTAGCTCACAGCTGCTCTTGTTAATGTTCAAACCAGTGCTTGTGTATCAGCCTTGTGAGCGTTGTCACTGTGCATGAAGGTGCAGCTGGAGTTAGGGAAATGTAACAGTTCAGTTTGCGTTTTATCTATCTCTTAACTTCCTTTAAACAGTCTTTGTCATAGGCACTTCCTTTCAGCAGCGTGTTGCTTAATGCTTTAGTAAAACAGTGTGAAGCTGACGTGAGATGGTAAATCGATTGGTTCCTGTTTTCTTATTACATAAGGAAAAAATCTTATGTAATGCAGGTTGGGTTGTTTTTCCCCCCCCTCCAGATATGCACAACTTTGCTCTCCTGGATTGTGGTTTTCTGTGCTCTCAAATGACAAAGGTTACTAACACTGGAAGATGACAGATGAATAGCTTTACTACTGCTCTTTAGATACACAGTGCAAGTCATCTGAAACTACATTTAAATCATGACATTGCGTATAAAACTTGAAAGAGCGTTTTATCTTAAGAAAACACAGTTTGGTTACTGACCCAGAATTATATACACTCCATCTAATGAGCCCTGAAAAGGGATATTTCGTTTTGCCACTTCTCATCGATTTGCAGCCACCAAAGTTCAGTGCAGATTTAAGACCGTCTCAAGGAAACACTTGGTGTTGTCGATGATACACTGATGTCTGCAGGGAGGAAGAAATACTGCTGGGTGCTCACAAAAAACAGGTGTTGCTTTCAGTTGTCTCAAAATCAATTTTCATTTTTTTCCAGGGTGCATTTCTTTTGTAGAGAAACAATCTTGAGTTCCTATGAAAAAGCTGAGTTTGGTGTATATGGGGTGAGGGGGAGTCTCTGTGAAAGCTTTTCATAGGGAAGTCCTTTATTAAGTATAAACATTTCTGATTCAAGGAAAGATTCTCTGAACTGCTGAACGAAGTTTGCCAGCCATTGCTTTTGTCTGTGATTAAATTGGTTCATTAGCTTGTTTTTCTAGTGTGATAGAATGAATCTAAAATTACAGATTCCTCCTCCTGCTGCCTTGGAGCTAAGAAGATGTCCCCATTAGCAAAAGTAAAACATCACTTTTAATGAGAATTTGCGACTGCCTTTTGAAGAGGAACAGAGATGGAAAATGATAGCAGGGCTTGCCCCTCTTCGCTCTCTGCACCGGTGGTGTCAGTTATTAGTGCAGAGGTGTTGCAACTTAGCCATGCAGATTTGTGCTTCTTCACTCTTCCAAAACAAGTAAGAAACCAACCAGATCTGTGTCCCCACATTTCGCAGTTCCTTTCGTAGCTGTCTGATTTCAGTCCTGCTGTTGCAGTGCATTGCCTTCTTAAAATTTGCCCTGCAAGAGCTGTGCCCCGTGGTTCTGCCCTGAGATAGAGAGACTTGTGAAAGCCTGTGTGCAATCACACTCTCCAGGCCGGTGCTGGCTCAGTTCCAGTTTACAAGTAATGTCAGTGGTTTCTCCTGTGCTGGGGCTGCCCCCACCTGCACAAGTAACTCCCTGTGGATGACAACAGACCAGCCAGAGTGTTTCTGCTCTCTATTGTAGGGGTTTCCAGAATGCGTTAGTGTGTGGGTAGGGGAGGAAGTCTCCAGTTACTCTGTGACTGAAGGCTTCAAAAGCGTCTTTGCAAGTTAGAAACCGAATTGCTGTAGTGTAAATCGTTGGAAGATACTTGCTGTTTGTACCAAGATAGGGAAAATCTTTTAAAGAAGAAAGATCCTTCAGGAGTGAGGGAAAGAAAGAAAGCAAATTAAGTTTTTAGTTGCTACAGTTTTCAGGTTTGGTTTCCATTTCCAGTTGATCTTTAGTAAACACAACAAAACCCTTCAGTCCTGCTTATGTTACAACCTTTTTCTTTATATATTTGATAGAGCTGATTTCTTCCAGATGTAATGCTTGTTTTGTAAATTCTTACTAGCAGTTGTAGTCATGTTTCATTATAATTTATTATGTTGTACTTTATTAGAGTAGCTAACACTTTCTTTGGTAAGAAAAAATGGCCCTATGTTGGGGGTTGTATCTTGAGATGACTCAAGGAACGCAAACTGTTTCTTGCTCCCCTGCTGACACCTCTGTTACCTTTAATTAATGTTTTGTTAGTCTCTCCGCTTTCATTTTTCAGTTGTAAAACAGACATAGTGTTGAGCATACCACCAAATCTGAAAGATGAGGCAGGAGTAAAACTATTCTGGACTACTAGTAATGGCTATATTAAAAATGTCTTTAAGTTATTCTTTATTTATCTTTATCTGTGCACAACCTTTCAGCTTTCATGATCTCCACTAGCATTTTGCAGATGCTGCTCTATGTTTTTAGGGTCCCTTCTGAGGCCAAGAACAGCAATTCTAGGTTGCTGAACATACAGCAGTACTGAGGTGGCTTTTGATGGAAAGCAAAATCTCTTTTTGGGTGGGTTTGTTTTGGATTTTTTTTTTCTCTTTTTCTCTGTTCCTTGTTCATGCTGTCTGGGGATCTTGGAGGACTGTGGGGATTAGACAAAACTTCTGTGGTCTCATCTGACAGCACCTTGCAGAGAACTGAATTCAGGTTGTTTGAGCTCTGTCTGATCTTCTGTTTAAAAAAAATAAAAACAGTAAGTCATAGCTTGCTGTGTTTTAAAACTGTGTATAATGTGAAGGATGTTAGAATACTTTAAGTGCTTAAAACCAGGTGATTTCAATTTTGACATCTTTTTATCTAAAGGCAAAACATACTACAGTAATGTAAGTATATGTGGGTTTTGTGTTTTGTTTTTTTGTTTTTTGTTTTTTTTAATTCTGTGGCTTGTTTTAATTCTTCTATTGTTCCATTGCAGGGTAGGACTTGGTTAATAGATTTTAACCCATTTGGGGAAGTAACAGACTCCCTGCTGTTTACGTGGGAAGAACTGACCTCTGGGAAAAACTTGAAAGGAGACCATGATGAAGGGGAAACAACTGAACAGGTACAGCTGTGTGATGAGGGAGGCTGGCTGATATATCCAACAGACATTATAGCGGGGTTTGTCTTTCCCTCTTCTTTGCCTTCCCTCTTCTCTTCTTTGCTTTCTTCCCTCTTCTAGTAAATCCAATTGAAGTAAATGGATGTCCTTAACTCATGAAATGTAAACTCTTTGTAAGTAGAATCTACCTTATTAGACAGTAGTTAATCTCAACAAGTATCCTTGCTACTTTTAGATGAAGGCAAGGGAATTTTTATTTCAAACAGTACAAGCTTATATTACAGCTTTGACCACATTGTGAAGATGCCCTGAAACTTGCTTTTACGCAGTTTTGTGCTCCTTTCAATTTCTCTTAAAATCTGTTACTTTTCTATTTAATCACTTAAAGTTCTGCTTTGTTCCTGATAATCTGTCATACAGTTTCCCAGAGCTTCAGATTTATGTTTGGGGGGAGGCAAAAAACAACTTAACTTCTGTCTCTTCCTCATATCGAATACCCTCAGGGAAACCTTGTCCTCTGGTTGAACTCCCTGGACTTGCAGAGCAGGGCTTTTCTATCCCTCTTCCAAGCTGCATTGCCTCTGTAAAAACAAGTAACTTCCCGTTAATACAGAGAGGAATAGTCTTCATTTATTTGTACTCCAGCTTTTTTCTCGCTGCATGCTTGAGACAGAGTCCTTACATGTTAAGTAGTCCTTGGACAGCTGCTTAGAAGATACAAAGTAGTATGTTACTGGATCTTGGGAAATACTTGGTAGTTGTCTGAGAAGGTTAGTCAGATAGCATGGGCTTTTCTTTATTTTCTAGCTGTTAAACTGCATTAGAGGTAACTGAAATGACATGCTTTATTGAGCTGATTTTAACATTTGAACTTTGCTTTAGTTCTGTCACCATTTTCATAACACATTGCAAGGGAAATACACCACTCTACAGGCTGTCATTCATCCTGTTTTCTCTTAGTCTCACCGTGTGGCTATTGCTGTATGAAAACCCATTCAATAAACCTTTCTGCTAAAAGCTGTGTCTCCTTTATTAAAACACACTCCCAATTCTTGAGCTGTCCATGGGACACCTGAATTTTGTTTTGAGGATTTCTTTTCTCAGTGCCAGTTTTCTCTGGTGTAAGCCTGGATGAAAAGTCGAATGATTTGTCTTCATCAGCTTACATCCAATCACAGAATCTGTTGTGAAGTTACCGATCTTCTGTCTTTAAAATGAAGCTGCTTACTGCCCTACAGTGGGTATTAATCTTGCATGTCAGTGTGTAGAACTGAAAATTATATCAAGTTACCCAAAACCTGTTGCTACAATTGAGTGTTTAGAGATATTTTGGGGGTATTTTTTTTTTTCCACAAGTGAATTGGTTGGAAAGCTTAGAGCATCATTTCAGTAAGGCTATATTTGCAAACATGGGTTTAAGCAAGGAACCTGTGAAGGCAAGTTTAGGGATTCTGTTGTAAAGATTTTCTTTATCCACATATTTATAGAGGTACTATTGCCCAGAGTTCCTTATAGCTCCATTATTACAGCTGTACAGTTATTGCATTACTGTTATAAGTGTATCTATGTTAAATGCATTAATAATGAATACATTGCAGAAACTTTAAAGTGAAGGAATGAATTTATTTATTTGATTGTTATTAACATTTTAACATTTGCTCTTAAGTGGGCAGAGTTTTTAATAAGAAAACTACAATACTTAGAAAGTGCAGGTTTAGTTGAATGAATGCCAAGCAAACTTATTGGCAAAGTGACTCAGACAATCTCACGGAGGAGTTTGAGGAGCATCGCTAGCTTTATTCGCATACACTGTTCTTGTCTTATCCAATATCTTTTCCAAAGGACTGTCCAGTTTTCCGTTGTACGAACAGTAAAGTTACTGTCCAGCCTAGTCCATACCTGAGTTACCGACTGCCGAAAGATTTTGTGGACCTTTCTACAGGAGAGGATGTTCACAAATTGATTGACTTTCTTAAACTGGTAAGAAGCAATGAAAACAATTTCTGACCTTCCATCTTTGTGAAATGGCAACATCAAAGTGCCTGGAATTGTGCTTTTGTGATTAACGTAGGTTGCATAATTACAGAAGTAATGTATGAAGCCATCATACAGTGTATTGTTGGGTTGATTTTTTTTTTTTATTTTTTTTTTTTTTTTTTTTCAGAAAGAGCAAGCTTTCATACTGATCTCACTTCAGTTAATTAATTCTATCTTTATAGAAGCAATGAATGTAGTTTCACAAATCTTCCAGAAGGACCTAGCTGTTTTCTTTCTTATTTAAATGTAAATACAAAAGTAGTAAAAACGGAAATGTATTTTTTGAATGCCTGTAGCTCGTGCTTTTAAGAACTTCTTTAAAAGTTAGAAGAAAAGTATATTAGGAAAAAACCCGTAAACACTTGATCCTTTTTCAATCCAATTTCTTTGTTCCTTTGAACAGTGACATGAAAATGTGGCATCTTTGTAAGCTAGGGAAGGGAGGGCAGGTTGCCTTCATCTAGACCACTGACTTCTGCTACCACCATCATGTTTTCTGGTTCTTGTATAGTCTGTTGGTTAATGTACAGGAAAGTCTTGTTCTTTACTGGAAATAAAATCCTATAGTTTAGGATGGAGGAGAGGGTTGATACTGCTCTGTTCCGTTTGCTGGAAACTTTATCTCCTAACATTCAAAAAAAGTCTTAGAAATCCAATCGTTGTCTAATATCCATGGTATCTGGAAACACTTGTCATGATTTATTAGTGATCTTACTTCAGATAACCATGTTCTAACATTATAAACTGTCTTGTTCCATTGACAGAAAAGAAATCAGCAAGATGATGACTGAGGTATCAACAAGCATTACACTGAATTACAAGCAAGAAATGTGGCAAAAGCTATATTTAATATAACTATTAAGCTATCGATTTAAAGAAAACCTGCTTTTTATAGTCAGGGAAAGAGCTGAAGAGGTGTTCATCCTGTGTGTCTGTTGGTTGATATAAAAGTACTGAAAATCTTTTTCAGGAAAACATGAAAGGTCAGGGTGAGTTCTCACTAGATTCCAGGTTAAATGCATTTATACCATGGTGCAAGCAAGCAACAATCTGAGTGCGACTGAATGACTGCTTTCCCATCTCATAATGTGAAGATTGATGCCACTGAGGTATGCTGTTGGACTCTTCAGTGATAAATGTGACAACATTTAATGCTTGTGCAGTTAAAACATTCTCTGAATTTAGGCAATCTTGCTTAAAATATAATCACAAGGAAAGAAAGGAATGTATGTTTTTTGCCGTAGTAACCTTTTAAAATTGTAAATTGTTTTGGGAGCGCTTCTCATCCTTACTTTATGTAAAAAAAGACAAAAAAAGAGGGGGGAGAGGGAATATTTTTCTTTGTTCTGAGGGCTAATACCTCATTTCAGCGAACAGCTATAGCTATAGTAGACCTAAGGTTTGAAAATGTTGTATTTCAGGAATTTGAAAGTCTGAATGCTTTTCAAGTAATGTAATAATATTTTCACAGTAGCTAAAGCTATGAAATTTGTTAAACTTCACCAAATTTCAGTTAATTTTCATAGTAAAGCTTTCTTTAAACCTATTGTTTAACATAATTACATACCAGACATCATCTGTGGCTTTAATATAAATAGTTAAACGGAACATCAACCTGTAATTTTATATATGGACTCAGACTTTTCTTTCATATCACATCTCTAGTTTCTTAAGAGAACTCTTTCAGCTCTTAAAATTCTGTATTCATTTGGTCCCTTTTTTGTGTGTGTGTAGAAGGAAGCTTGGCTAAATTTTGGGAAACAGAGGCTCTTGTTAACAGCAGCTGTTATTTGGGAGGTGGGGGGAGTGTCAGATGAAGAACCAGCTAAATTTTGGATATAGGTGTTTGCATGGCATTGATAATTTGTTAACAGTATACACAATTCCTGATGAAACGAAAGGACATTTGGAGGTGCTCATAGTACCTGGAAACTGGTTCCTATTTCAAACCAGTTACGTGATACTTTGTGTGTGTGTATAAAGCTGTTCATGTTTCTTTGCCTTGCTTTTGCTGTCAAATTGATATGGTGCTTGGTTACAATCTGTTCTTAGGTGTTAAATTATTACTTACTGTCTTTATTTAGCTTCAGTTTTGAATGTATACTTATTCTAGTTAAAGATTATGTGGATTAAGAATCCAGTTCTACCAAATACATTGATGAAACGTCACAGATTAAAGCTTGTGGAGTCTGAGAATACAACATCTACCCTACCCTTGAAGCGATTGAATCTCCTCAATAGCTTTTTGTACACAAATTAGATGATCGTTAACTCAGGTCTGGGCTATACCTAATTCTGCCATACTGTGGGATTTTGGATGAGTTTTTCTCACCTTTATCAGAGAGATTATTTGAGTACAGATGTCTCTAAATAAGGTAGGAACTTCAAAACATAGAAGATGACAAAGCTTTCCTTTTTCTTTTAAAGTTTCTACCCATAACTTAAGCTATTGTGATGATCTAACCACATTTCCATTACACAGACAAGGCTCTGGAATTTCCAGCAGATTCGTAAATGCTTCTGAACTATAGTGTTGTCTTTAAAAAATACCAAATCTTGGTTTAAAGCTCTAAGATAGTTTCCTGCATCTTTTTTGTGGGCTCCACTAATTAATTTACCACTGTCACAGCTTTCTGTGCTGGATATTCATGAGAACATATATGGTGTCAGGACCAGTTTGGTGGGACCCTGTGCACTCTAGAGTATCCCATTAGGTGAGTAGGCTGGAGCAGGAGCCTTTTTAACAGTCCTTTGCTTCTTGATGTTACTATTTATCCTGAAAGTGGCATCACCAAGTGAACTGACCACAGTCAGTGCAGAGCTCTTAGACGTGCTGGCAGCCTTCCTACGTTTGCAAGAACTGCAGTCTTCTGCAGGTGCTCTGTGTTTATAGTTGAGCGCTTCTAGGACAAATTGCAGTGGAATCAAACAGTGGCCCAGCACCTGGCTCCCTAAATGGCTTTGCTGCTTGCTAGCCTGGGCTGATCCTCTAGTTAAAGGACCACCATAATAACATGCTTGGCCACTCCTGTCTCCTACCCAGTGCCCTGTGGCACAGCTTGCCCCTCCATCCCTCATCAGTTTCAACAGCTGTTTAACATACTCGAAGACTTCTCTTTATAGTCATATGCTAGTGATAAGTGAATTCAAAGCTTATTTTTCTCCCCTATGATTTACAAACAGATGACCAATCTGAATTAATGGACTGTTCAGCCAAGCAGTCAAACACTGATAACTAACTTCATTTCCAAGTTGCAGGAACTTATGCCACTTCCTCTGGGCTTAGTTTTAATGAAGGAGCATAAAAGGTAGCAGAGCAAAAATACGAGTCCCATCTTCAGGTCCTAATACAGAAAGAGTCCCCACTATAAAAATGTGTTCTATGTAATCAGATTCCCCAAAATATCATATCCTTACAACTTAAATACATACTTTATTTGCTTCTCTTTCCAACTTCATGTAACCAGATGTTGAGGTTTTTTGTCTGCTAGATTAAAGATTCCTCTTGTAAATGAATTTTCATCTCATACGACCTTTTGATCTGCAGGATAATTAACAAACATTCCTCTTGGGGAGGTGAGGTGGCTGATATTGATACATTAAAAATGCTTCAGTTTCATATATGACACTGTTAATTCTATTTCAGGTCATCATAAAATCAATTTCTGTCCCTAACCAACATACAGAAACTTGAAAATACAAAATTCCCATTGTTAGGTCCTTGTTCATATGATTCAATCATATGATCACCATTTGCTGAGTTAAGGGCTAACTATATATTCTTAATTATATGCTTAAAACTTATATAAAGGTACTTGTAATCTCACCTAGATGACAAACATGAGAAGTTTTAGAGGTAGCATGAAGTCATTTTATATAGACCATATGCTTGTCGTACTCTTAAGAAGTCTGGCTATGTCTAATGGCTCGAGTGTAGTGAGTCTCAGTTCCTGGACTGCATCTCTGCCAGGAGCACCAAAAAAAAGTCTTCGTTGTTTCACAGCCAATGCTTGCGATATTTAATCTTCCAGATGGATAGTGGGGATCACAATTCTGGTAACCCCATAAGCAGTAGCTACTGACATGTACTGGGTTAGTTCAGGATTTGGAATCATGCTTCTGTACTTCTGGGCTGCAGACTGTCCATTCTGTTTATACTCCTTTGGCTCCTATTTGCAGTGTTGTCCACATCTTTCCTGGCCCACCAATCTAATACTTGGGTGAATGTTAAGATTAGCATAAGCAGCAACATGGATTGTACTGATCTGAATTTTAAAACCTCTCTCTGTCCACTTTTTCCTCCCTCTCGGATGATTTTTAGTGGTGCTCTATAATATCTGAATAAAACCCCTAAAGGTAGGGGAATAATAGCCAGCTCCAAGTCTCAGTAAGATGAATACCACTTGTTGGATTCTGGTCACAGTGTATGACTTGTAAAAACTCCAACTGAATAGAAATTTCCTGTAACTCCTTATGCACTCACCTGTTGCTGATGTCCAGGATGCGGTGCTGGCCAGAAAGAAGTACCCAGTGAGATACAGTTCAGGTGCCCATTTAAGGGCATCATAGACTGTTAAACTAAACCAGCTAGGTTTCAGGCTTTCAAGAGAGTGTTGCCAGATGAAAGGATTTCAAAATAGATAGCATGGAGGTGGGTAGCAGCGTGACACAAACCTGCGTAAAAATACTTCTGGTACCTTTGTGCACCACTGAGTGAGTTTAGCTTTCACAAACGGTCCCAAATCCGAGGTGTTGAATAGCTGGAGAAGAGCACACAGTATCTGTCAGCGAGTATAAACAGGCACTTGGCAACTGGTAAATAATTTCAACCTTAGAGGCCAAGAGTCTACAATTCAGGTTGTGTTTGGGTATTGCTTCAAGAAATAATACTGAACTAAAATACCTATCTTTGACTACAAGAAGATGGGCCTTAAGGTATAATACAGAAACAGACCATAGTGCTTTTGATTCCTGATGGATACTTGGTAATGCTGATATTTAAAAGCTTAATAAATCTGTCTTAACATAAGTTTGCCTGGATGTTGAATTATCAGTGTCTTTATTTCTGTTTGAATTTGGCCTCTGTAAAGAGAAAATCTCCAGCTTGTGGTCATCCTGAAATTACATAGAATTCAAATGAGACTTGTTACCATAACTGGGGTATTTTGTGCAGACCTGAAGCTTTATGAAAGGTACGGAGTCCTTAAGCAGAAATGTGTGATTACAGATTTTTATAGTAATAAAGACGTTGGCACTGCAGTACAAGTGTTGGGTTGTTTTGTGGCGGAGGGTGGGCAGGGGCAGGGTGAACCTTCTCTGTTTCTGTCTGTGAACTGTTGTAACAATGTACTTCTGCGTGCTGAGAGGTTCCACTGCTCTAAGGTCCTCTTAATACCTGACCACGTTTCTTCCAATTACGTGTTTTGGCAGGTTGGAGGGAAAGGTTGTTTGGCTGGTCTGTCAGAAATGCTGACTTCTCAGAACCTTTCTTCATGAAAGCTAGTTACAAATAAACTGTCAGGAGAGATCTGTGACTCCTAAACACATTTCTAGCCAAGAGAAAGAAAACAAATCAATGCTTGTTATAGCTAGTCTTTAGGGCTCAAATCCATATTGTGGAGGGGCTTGAAAATGGTTTCTGTCTTAGCTTCTGCCATGAAACTCTATGTCCTGACAGACTGCTGCCCTTCATTTCTGTAGATGAATTATTCATTGGAGCTGGGACTGGCAGAGGCAGGAAAGTGGATGAAGAAACGTTAAGCTAAAACATCTGTACACTGGAACACTTAGGAGGAACTTGGGTGTCAATATATGTCAAAAATGGTTGATGGGCATTGCAGAGACTTTGGGAGATAAACTGCAGCACTGGAACAGACACACCCGTGGTTCAGGAAAGGCTGGAGGCCTGATGCTGAATATTAACAGTGCCTGTGCTTCCAAAGCTTGGGAATCATAGGATCACAGAAGGGTTTGAGTTTGGAAGGGACCTTTTAAAGATCATCTAATCCAACGCCCTTGGGCAGTGACATCTTTTGCTAGATCAGGTTGCTTAGAGCCCAGGCCAACCTGACCTTGAACACTTCCAATGATGGGCATCCACAATTTCTCTGGGTGTCTTGTTCCTGTTTCTCACCAACTTTATAATGAAAAATTTCTTCACTGTTGTCAATCTAAACTGACCCTCTTTCAGCTTAAAACTGCTACACCTTGTCTTATCACTACAGACCCTGGTAAAAAGTATCTCTGCATCTTTCCTGTAGCCCCTTTAAGTACTGGGAGGCCACTATAAGGTCTCCCCAGAGCCTTCTCTTCTCCAGGCTGAACACCCCCAACTCTCTCAGCCTGTCCTCACAGGGGGGTGCTCCAGCCCCTGATCACCTTCGTGGCCTCCTCTGGACCTGCTCCAACAGGTCCATGTCCTTCTGATGTTGGTGCCCCCAGAGCTGGACACAGCACTGCGGGGGGTGGGGGGTGGGGGGTGTAGTGTCTCATGAGAGCAGAGTAGAGGGGGAGAATCTCCTCCCTCGCCCTGCTGGCCACACTTCTCTTGGTGCAGACCAGGACACAGCTGGCTTTCTGGTCTGTGAGCACACAGTGCTATCTCATGTCCAGCTTTTCATCCACCAGTATCCCTGAATTGTGAAGTCTAGTGGAAATGGAAGGTGTTTGCTACTTTCTGTGGGGAAAGTGACACGGGAAGACTTGAAAAGACAGAATTAATGTGTTGGGTGTTTTTCCAGAGGATAGTTTGTATTTCAGAAGGTACAGTGTGTTATTCTAGAGCTGGCCCTTCTGGATTAGTCAGGCTTATTAGAAGTGGTTAAAAATCTTAGAGGTAATTGAGGTGAAAGTGGCTGTGGAGTTGGCATTTGGTGCTCTTGAAAAGGCAGGGAGATGAGAGGAGCAGAATAAAGACTAAAGGCAGTTTCAGTAAATGTGGGTGTTGGTGCCTGGGTCCATTTGGGAGATGATGGGTGGGATAACTGAAGAAAGGTCCTTTTTTTTGACGGCCCAGCGGCAATCTCTTAAGGGAAAATGGCATAGCAGGGACTTGGAAGGATCAATCAAAATGAAACTGCAGAAATTGGAAGGAAAGGCACATGATTAAGTGTGAAAAGATGAGGGGATGAAGAAAAAATGATGGATGATTCAGAGAAAACTCATGCATTTAATGTTTTCTTTGCCTCACTATATCCTTTTTACAAGCAAAAGAAGGAAATGAACTAAATTATCACAATGCAGCAGAAAAATTGCAGTTGGAATAGTTATTGGTATGTAGCCAGAGAGAGTATTTTGAGTGAGACCACTATACATTTTATTGTAGGGCCTGTATTTTTCTGTAACTCCATTAATGACTGGAGCGGTGAAATAAATAGCCCATATAAAAATCTGCAGTTGTCACCAGCTCGAGAATACACACAGGCACTTTCCAGGGCTGTATCAGAATTTGAAATGGCCATAATATGCAGGAAAAATGGCTTGAAATAACAAGAAGAAATTTGATAAAGGCGAGTGCAAAGTACTGTATTTAGAAGGAGAAATCAGACATTCAAGTACAAAATGGGGAAAGAGCTGGCAGAGCAGCAGTACAGTGGGAGTGGATAAGTTACAGTAGAGACCATTAACTGCAAGGCGATAATAAGCTGTTGGGGGAGGAAAAAGGCAGGTGTCGTTCTGGGCTAGCAGGGGAGAGAGATGGAAGAAATGAGAGAGATTATTTTGTTTGATGTGAGGATGGTGTACTGCGATATGTCATTTTAGGCACAATATTGCAAGAAATACGTCGGTCATTGGAGAGTGGCCAAAGATTGAATCACAGAATATCTCAAGTTGGAAGGGACCCATAAGGATCATTGAGTCTAAATCTCTGCTCCTTGCAGGACCACCTAAAACTAAACCATATGACTAAGAGTGTTGTCCAGACCCTCTTTGAACTCTAACAGGGTTGGTGCTGTGAACACTTCCCAGGGGAGCTTGTTCCAGTGACTGACCACCTCTCAGTGAAGAACCTTTTCCTAACGTCCCATCTGAACTTCTCCTGATGCAGCTTCATTCCATTTCCTCATGTCCTAGCACGTGTCACCACAGAGAAGAGATCCGTGCCTCCCCCTCCATTGCCCGCCTTGAGGAAGGTATAGACTCATGAGGTCACCCCTCAGCATTCTCTTCTCCAATCTGAACCAACCAAGTGACTTCACAAGTCTTGCCCTCGAGACCTTTCACCTTCCTCTGGACAGACTCTTAATAGTTTGGTGTCCTTCTGATACGGAGGCACCCAAAACCGCACACAGTACTCAAGGTGGGGCCACAGCAGTGCAGTGGAGGGTGGGACGATGGCCTCCCCCGACCTGCCAGCTACACTGTGCTTGAGGCACCCAAGGACATGGTTCCCCTTTTAGCTGCCAGGGCACACTGTGGACTTGTATTTGACTTGCCATAGTTACACACATTGATGAGGTCCCCCTGAGACTTCTCTAGATGAAACAGTCCCAGCTCCCTGCCTTTCCTCACAGGAGGGATGCTCCAGTCCCAGACAGACTACTCTTAAGGGGCCCTGAGGAGGAGGACAGCTGTCAGTTCAAAAAGCTTAGACAATACTACTGCAGTCATGAAACATGTTTTTCTAACTTCAGTGGGTGATAGATTCTAATCCCAGACGGAACAACTTGGCCTGTCATACCATCTCTGAAGTCAAGGTAGAAGGTGACAAAGGGGCTGCCTTGCCTTCTCAGGCTGGCTCTTCCAAATTATTCCCTGCTGCTCTTGTGGCAGCGAGATGCCACTTGTGTCCTGGGTTTGGGGTCAGGAATATGCTAAGAGCTGCCTCCAGCACCTGGTGCTCTGCAAGCCTGCATTTCTTCCCATCCAAGACTGCTTAGGCACCTGCATCGTGCACTGGGGAGTGGGCAAAGCCCTGCTGCTCATCACATACTTGCCCCTTGCTCCTCCATGCTCCCAGCTCTACCCTGAGGTGCTCCCCTCCTGTGCCATGGGCAGCTTGTGGAGGAGTAAAGAGGGAAACAAGAAGGAGGCATCCCCATGACTCCTCTGTCCTGGAGAACTCAAGGTGGTGTTTATGCAGTGGGGACGACAGGAAGTCCCCATGAAAACAAGCCCGACACCATTTTTGCCTCTCAGTGCAAGATGGCGGCTGGCAAAGGGGCTGGCCTGCCTCCTCCGGAAGGCTTTTCTTCCCATGGAGCAAGGTCTCAGCTGGGTCTGCAGCATGAAGCTTCAGTGCAGTGGCACGTGCTGTGACCTGTGGTTTGAAGAGTTGCGCTGAAGTGTAGCAGCCCTCCTCGTGCCAGAGGCGCTGGCTGCCCTCCTGCAGAAGCCCAGGCCGTGGCTGTTGCTCAGGAAGCTGACTTTGCAGAGGTGCAAGGGGCTAAAAAAGGGGCGTCCTCCTCCCGTGCCCCACCACCAGCCCGCCAGGCTGTGTCACGAGGACAGAGCTGGCTGGGGGCTGCCCCACAGCGTGGGAGAGGACATCTCAAGGGCCAGTGGGATTAATGAGAAGGGTTGAGGGGGGAAGACTCAAGGCTGGATAAGGCTATTGAAGGTTCCCTTCTGCAATTCCAGCTCCCAGCAGGGCCACATTCAGAGTGACCTCTTCTGAATGGAAATCCAGCTTCATCCTTCCTTTGGGGAATGGAGACAAGCTCCTGGGGAGACAAGAAGTGCCACAAGCACCTGGAGGTGCCCAAGGCCTTTTCAGCGGGCTAGCAGTGGCAAAGGTTGGCTTGGTGCCTTGCCAATACTACAGAAAGACATTCTCAGTGCTTGAGGAGCACTGCAGAGCTTGCTGTCCTCATCCTGTGGAGCCAGTGCCACTGAGGAACGGGCTGCAAAGGTGTTGCAAGGGGCATCAGTATCAGCACCTTCCCTCAGTGCTCTGGAACACCCACTGGTGTCCTGCTGGGCATGGGAAGGATTCTTGCTCCCAAGGTCCATCTAACCGGGGGCTTTTTCCCACTCTTGGGAGCCCCTGAGATAGCTCTGGGTTGAGGGAAGGGGTTGGGCAGTGGTGGCAACCCTGATAGGAGTGACCATTCAGTGGGACCAGGAGGCAGGTCCTGCTCACATGCTCAGGGAACAGCCAATTGCCAGCTCTGGGGTCAAGAAAGAATTTTTTCCCCTGGGACAGCTTGGCACTGGTGCCTGGGGTTTTTTCACCTTCCTCTGGTGCATTGATCATGGCCCTTGCCAAGGATCCTCTGGGCCACTTTGGACAAGTTCCTGCCTGCCACTCTTGCAGCACC